AACTTACATGAGGTCATCATCAACATTTAACAATCAAAAGCTACATACAAAATTCTTATTCTCTTCAAAACCAGGCAGATGTGTCGATCTTCAGTCTTTTCCTTTGGCACCTGCTGCTGCTTTTAAATGACTCATTTCCCACGTTTGATTGTGACCCACCTGTACCCCTGTAGGTACTTGATTTTGCAGTTCCTGGTAAACTGCTACTATGTCAGCTTTAGTAACAATAACAATACAAACAGTAACAATGAGCACTTAGTTCCAGGTCCTATTCTAAGTATGCCACTGAGAGCATTCACTATTTGAGGGAGTTACTATTATGAATCCATTTTACAGATGAGAAAACTGAGACACAGAGGTTAAAGGATTTGTCTGAAAGTCAACAACCAGCAAGTGGCAGAAGTGAAATAAAAGTCAGATTTAAATTTGCCAAAGAGTACTTAATTGAAATGGTAATAAATTACTCTTTATGAACTGGAATCTTTTTCTAAAGCAAGCCTGTGCTCTTCTGTACATACACAACAGACATGCACCCGCTATGAGACTTTGGGCAGCTATCTCCTTTCTTCTAGCTGTGTAAAGCTGGCCAAAGGTGAACTAAGCTTCATCTCACACCACAAAGCATGGTAAACAGGGCAAGTCACAGTGGTAGAGAGATGTCCTCACATTTATCTCTAGAAAACACACAATGCACAGGTAGGACTATCTTCAAGAAATCATGTTCTAAATGGAGATATGCAGTGCACTCAAAAGTTTTAAAGGACATTTAAACAGAAACATGAGGGTGGGTATATATGGAAGTTGTAGAGCATATTCAGGGACAAAAGGCTGGGGTACGGGACCCAAGAGATGAGAATAAGGAGAGCCAGGATAACCATTTGGAAGTATTTCAGTGAATCGACAGTGGTTTCCTAAAGGTCACACAGGAACTCTGGGTTCTCTCCTAAAATATCAGCCGACATTAAAGTTTGCCTGACTTAAGAAACATTCAGTGGAATAAACATGGGACAGAATGAAAGAATCTGAAAGATGAGAAAGGACATCTGATGATTACACAGGAAAAAGTGAGAAAAGGATTAGGAAAAACAATCAGGATTCTAAAAGATCTTGGTGCATGAAAGCATACAATTATAAGGTAGACATGAATTAGGGAAAAAAATACATCAGTTGAGTAAATATGACAAAGGGACAATGGCATAAACAAAGTATGCAAATCAAGAACAAAAAATTCACTCATTTAAAAAAAATCACTTATAATTAACCAGAGATAACCAAAATTTTTCCCCCTCTTTCTGACAACACGTTTGGGAAATGTGAAATCAGGGGGATTAGAAGCTGGTTGCTTCCATTAAAAGAATATAGACATCTGGGAAAGAAGTACTACAGTAGGAGGAAAGTGACAGAGAATTACTCTTTGTCACACTTTGACTCTAGAAAAATCCATTAATTTTCTGTGTGGCTATTCTAACACAACCCTTCCTCCTTTTTTACAGCTTCCCCAGAGGCTCAGATGGTTAAGAATTCGCCTGCAAAGTGGGAAACCTGGGTTTGATCCCTGGGGTGGGAAGATTCCCCTGGAGGGCATGCAACCCACTCCAGTATTCTTGACCAGAGAATCCCCAGGGACAGAGGAGCCTGGTGGACTACAGTCCACGGGGTCACAAAGAGTCAGACACCACTGAGCAACTAAGCACAGAGATTACAGTGATATAATAGAGCAATCACGGGTCAGCCAATGAGCCTTAATCTTCTCCTCAGTCTCTGCTAGATGCTGGGGAAAAAGAAAACCAGTGTTTGTTGAATGCCCACTTTGCACTATATATTACTATATAACTTTGACTGCTTATTTCATTTAATCATGACTACAATTGTCTAACGTGGGCACAATAAACATTTTAAAGATGAATGTGAAGGTTAGAGAGATGAAATAACTTGCCCAAGTCCACACGGCTGTTAGGTGGCAGAGCTGGTACTCAAATACTTCTTTCAAACCAGAATGAAGCTGATCTGGGTTAAAATCTGGTCTGCCACTTCCTAGCTTTCTGGCCTGAACCTAAGTAACCTCTCTGGACTTCACTCTTCTCTTCTGTAATATGGGAAGACAAAACCAATTCTCACAGGGTTATTTTGTGAAAATCGGTTTATTCATTACTTCACCCATCAAATGATGGACTACAGAACAAGGAAGTGAAGAAATGAGGGAGTGGGATAACACGATACCAAAGTCAATAACTCTAACGTGATAAAGTAAAAAGATTCTAGGATAGCAGCATTAAAGCAGAGGAGCTGGATGGGCAGTGGTCAAAGTATGATGCTTGAAGGAGAGATTTCAGAGGTTGCATGGATTTTGAAGTCAACGTGAAGGAGATGACCATGGGAGTGGGTGGCTAGGGATGTGAAAGGTAGGGACGGATGAGGAGAAGCAAGGAAGCTGAAAAACAATGAGCAATGCATGCAAAATATCTGTAACTCAGCTGGCCCTTACAAAATATTAATCCTAAGAAATAAAAAATTAGGAATAACAAATTTCTTATCTGCATATTAAAAAGGATGGAAGTGAGAAATCTGCCTGAATGGCAAGCAGTGGATGGGAACAAATATCTGATGCTGCAGAAATGCATCCAGAAGGCAGATAGTGTCTTCTTTACCTAGGCTCTTACTTATTACGCCCTGATATGACTCCCTTACTCTTAAAAACCTCTGCTTGAAGGCAGTTAGGTGTTCCATTAATTGCTTTTGTAAGAGTAAATATTAATAAAATACTGAGGAGCAAAAAAAGCTGAACTAAGTAGAACAGGAAATGTTAACAAAAATTTCCAGGCAATATTTACTATAAATAAACATCTATGCCTCAGCAGTTCCTTCTGCCTCAGTTAAATGCCACCTTATGAGAGATCTTCTCCAACCTTCCTAGGTAGAATCATCACCCTCTGTCCGCCTCCATTATCACACTCTCTCCTTTCCTTTCTTCTTCATAGTATTTATTACCACTGGGTACACTTACATTTCTTTGTTCATTGTCTTTCTCCGGTCTCTTTCCCAACGATACTATCTAAGAGTTGAGACTTTGTTTTCTTCACGGTTTTATCTCTAATTCCTAGAATAGACTTGGCAACACAGTTCAATAAAAGTTACATTAAAAAAAATCTACTTTAAAAACTCTTTATGGTCTTAAGTACTCAATAAAAAGAATGGTTTCCCATTTTTACACTTAGAAATTATGAAATAATGAGAAAATAAAATTTCTAGTCCATTTTCCTTGTTAACACCTCTAAAGATTAATGTTAATTAACTAATAATTAGATAATAAAGTTAAAAAAATTAACTCATTTATTTCCTTTAGGACTTACAGCCTGTATGTTCCTTAAATCCTATTTGCTGAGATTCACAGTTCCGTGAAATGTACATCTGTGACAGTCCATTCTAATCACAACTTACGGTGTGATTCTAACCACCAGTTAATTTTTCCAAACTGCCATATTCAATTAATGCTCAGGGGACAGGGGGAGAGAAGGAAGAGAACATAGTATGTCTTTATCGACATGGACTTTATTGTACTTATGCTCAAGTCTTTTTTTAAATATATAATTTTATTATTTTGGCTGTGCTGGGTCTTGGATGCTGCACAGGCTTTTCTCTAGCTGTGGCAAGTAGGGGCTATTGTTTACTGTGGTGTGTGGGCTACGAATTGCAGTGGCTTCTAGTACTGTGGAGCACAGGCTCTAGACACATAGGCTTCAGTAATTGCAGCACATGGGCTCAGTGGTGGCCAATCTCTGGCTCTAGATCACAGGCTCAATAGTTGTAGCACACGGGCTTAATTGCTCCATGGCTTGTGAGATCTTCCTGGACCAGGGACCAAACCCGTATCTCCTGCATTGGCAGGCGGATTCTTTACCACTGAGCCACCAGGGAAGCCCCTGTACTCAAGTTCTTAAATAAATCAGAGTATGCCCCAAAGCCAAACTTTGAAATGGTTTGATTTTTTTAAATGGTTTAAGATTATTCTTGAATCTGGACACTGGCTAAAATGGATTTTATATACTTTTAAGGTGAGCAAGTACAAATAGTTTATTTAGTAAATGAGGTTTAATGTCAGCAAATCTAAAATTTCAGAGGCAATATTTTATTTCAAAAGTAATAAATAATATGGTCACATGGTAACTGGTGAGAGTTACAAGGATAGCAACCCCTAAAATTCTTATAAAAAAAGTAAAATTATTTCACAGTTGGTCTTGCCTATGTTTCTCATGACTGCATGTTTTCCAATAACCTATTAATCCACATTAAAACTTAAATACATATTAACTTACCAACAGTGATAGAACTTCAAGGCTGAGAAAAAGCACTAATCACAAAGAATTTCAATTAAAAGTTAACCTAAGAGTCCAGAAAGAAATGTTATCAATGAAAGAAGTCCTAATTATTAAATAAGATAGCTGTATATCTGTTTAAAGCCTAACATACACCTAGCTTCACTGAAACACTTCTGAAAAAAAATTATACATACATATTTTGCTAAAGATATAAAATAAAACTTAAAATAATTCCTCTACTTTAAAAAAAGCATGACTCCTAAGAAAAGTTTACAGTATCTCATTAACAAAGCAAAAACCTTAAAAAGGTTTATCTATTTTGGTCTTCAGTTACAAATAAAAAGCCACTAACAATTCATTATAATAATTCTATAAACAGAAACATTATCAGAAAAAAAAATTGTTGATAAAAAAATCATCAATTCAATGAGCATTTGATTGTTTTATTAACAAAATATAGGCAAGAATTATAACCCTCTCTGGTGAAACTTCTCAAATAATTTTATGTAGAAGACCTTGAGATGTATCAATTATACAACATATTAAAATGAAAACATTTTTTAAATGTACAAATACAAACCAGTACTTTATACAATAATTCTCTACAAAGTTTGTCAATGGATGTAAAAAATAATTTGTTTCAACTGAATATAAGGCATGTTCAATTTCTGTGATTTTGCAGAATTATTTTTTTTGCTTTGTTGGAGACTTTTCTCTTCGCCGGTCCTGATTTTTCTTTGATTCTCCGGATTGTTCAGAGTATTGGCTAGATTTTTCCCAGCGCCTCTCAGCACCGTTCTGATGCCTATCTTCATCACTTCTAGAACCTGAATGTTTTTTATTTTTTTCTCTTGACTTGGATCTATCTTTCCTTCTAAAATTCTCACTGTCCCTATTTCGATGTCTGTGCTCATTGTCAGAGAAAGAATTTCTTCTCTCTCTTTTCTTTTTGGGATCCCCATGATTATGTTGCAAATCCATGAGTGCTTCTTGGTCTCTGTCATGCATGGCTCTGCTGTAGCTATTTCTCTCAGAAGGAATCCCTCTGTCTGAAGCATATTTTGTTCCAGAGCCTCTTGAATCTCTCTCTCTGGGTTTTTCTGACCTCCTTTCTCTCTCAGTCCTTGTCTCCTGGTGCCGATGCTCTGGCCTCCTTTCTTCTTGTTTTCTATCATTCATTTCTTGTTTCCTGATCAATTTATCTACTTCTTTACTTCTGTGGTTCCCATGCCCCTTCTTTCTTACATTTTTAGCTGCATGTGTAAAATGAAATACAGTTAGCTTATATTTTAATCTCAATTTCACAACTAAAAAAAAAAATCACATATATTTATACACTATAGGTTTGTTTACTAATTCAGACAAACTGGATGAAGAGTCAAATTGACTGCAAAATCTGATGACAGAACAGTATACAAAAAACATAATTTTTAAGAATATACAATATAATACATTAGTTACTGAAGTAACTGCTTTGATCCTTAAAACAATAAACAAATGTTTTAAAATAAGGTGCAGCAAATGTAAAAGTTTTAATGAAATGACTAAAGTGGTACATTTCCACTTACAAATTTTATCCAAAACAGAAATTTCAGCCCATATGCATTATGTTGTATGAAATATAATGTCAGATATGATACATAATTAAAATACAGCAATCCTACATGCCAGCAACATCACTTCCTAAAAGGTGGGTTGAGTGGGATGACTGGGTTTGTGTAAAAATAGGAATACATATTTTTCAAATACAAACCTCTGCCTACAAGAAATAACAGTCCTACTACCAGAGAAGTGGTAACTATGCAAAGAGAAGCTATGTTGAGATCTAATCATAGGCTTTATGAAAGAGCCACAAAAGCTTGATTGTTAAGAAAACTCTTCTAAGGCCTCGAAACTTTTACTAGTTTGTCCACAAATATAAATATTAATTAGAATGAAATATCTTACCCATTTTAAGCTATAAAACACACTTAACCACTTTGTGTTATCTGCTTTGGATACATAATCAAAAGTACTGAGATGACCACAATTTCTGTCAAATTCATATGGAAAAAGAAAATACGGTGGAAAGTTGCCTATCCTTGTCCTACCTCCACTCAAATGTAGCAGCGTCTATTTCTCCTGCCAAATGCCTATCCGTGGCAAACCACGGGTCCTGGTTTTCCAAAAAGGACCAATTTCTCTGGTTCCTGTGAAGCAGTTCAGCTGAAGTACAGCAATCCAAGCAGAAACCACCTGGCTCTGTGTAGAATCAACGCCGCTCTCTGACCCTTCTGCATCCCACACTTGTGCTTCTTGACACCAAAACCGGAGCCCTACAATAACATGCACTTTCCTCTCTGGTGTTTGCTTTACAATTTTCTAATTTGGTATAAGTTCATATTGTTTTTATGCTATTTAATATGTTAATAAAACTGAAAGCTCTCTACTGAAATTGTATGATGAGGCAAATTAATTTTGAATTAGCAAGCTTCCTTACTGCAGCAGTTCATGCTGTGTTATCATCTGTTCTCAAAACAGATACCATGAAATAACAAATTCTTTAGAGGTGAATGGTAAATGAACAATGTTAGTATGTTTCAACTTAAGAATAAAACTTCCTGTGAGTAAATGGAGTCTTGCTCTAACAATATAAATCACCGGACCAGGAGCCAACACTTCAAGTCCTGTCCGACTCTGTGCGACCCCATAGATGGCAGTCCACCAGGCTCCCCTGTCCCTGGGATTCTCCAGGCAAGAATACTGGAGTGGGTTGCCATTTCCTTCTTCAATTCATGAAAGTGAAAAATGAAAGTGAAGTCGCTCAGTCGTGTCCGACTCTTCGCGACCCCATGGACTGCAGCCCACCAGGCTCCTCCGTCCATGGGATTTTTCAGGCAAGAGTACTGGAGTGGGGCGCCATTGCCTTCTCCAATAATTCACTGAGAGTCCCCTAATTCTGGATGCCACATAGTATGTAAAACACTCTGAAGAGAAACAAGTGTGTAAAGACTAGCCTGACCAACCTACCAATAAGGCTGTGAGGAGAAGTGCTGCCTCTCTGAAATACACACTAAAAAACCAAGAAATGACATGCATTTTGGGCAATCAGACTATCTCTTATTCAAATTAAGATATTATGGTGAAAGAAAGCAGAGTTGGTCCTGGGGAAAACAACATAGACCTTTTTAGAAATTGGCATATTCGAAAAAATACTTTACTACAGCACTTCCTCTTCTAAGGAAGATGAAGAAGATTGTCAAAGACCAGTAATGTTGCTGAAAACAACTAGAAATGCCTGATAAAAGCTTAGCATCTGCTATTTAAAGGCACTAAAAATCTGAAACAACTTGAGATGCTATAAGGAAGGTGCTATAAGGAAGGAAGTGCTCAAGAAAAAAAGGATGGGAGTGTGTCAAAAGAATACAGGAGTCAACTTGAAGGAACTTCTAATTGCCAAAGCTGAAGTGATCTGGACAAGAAAATAAATGACAGCACTAGACTTTAACCCACAGAATAAGATAAATATCCATGAGTCTACACTGATATATAATTAACACTATTAATAAATAAATGCAGGGGCACAACTCTTTCTTACAAGAGAAATTTCATTATTAAATGTAGAAAAAAGAAAAGAGACAAATAGAAAAACCACCATTTGGCAAACATTACAGTAACAAGTGTTGCAGATAAGATCCAAAGATAGGTGCAAAAACAGAAGACTGAAAGAGGAGAAAAAAAGAGATCTGCATTGTACTGAATTATCTCCCTTTAACATTAATTTCTACAGAAAAATGGTTTCCATGAAAAAATCCAGCAGATACCACCATAACCAAGTGATTAAAGTTAATATCACCTACAAGACATATCAATATTATCAACTCCTCAATAAGGCACAGTAAGAACAACACATCATTTCTATGGTACCCTGGCCTAAAATGAATAATCTCATTCAAATCATGAGAAAACATCAGACAGATATTCACACTGAGTGACAATGTGCACAGTAAGTGACCCAAGGACTTGAAAAGGGTCAAAGCCATTCAAACCAACAAAAGCCTGAGAGAAACTATCATGGGTTATATAGAAAGCTAAAGAGAAATACAATTAAAGGCAAGAAGGATCCTGGAACAAGAAGAGGGACATCTGGAACAAGAAGAGGGACATCAGTGGAAAGACTGGTGAAATTCAGTATTTTCCCAATGTTAATTTCCTGATTTTGATAATTGAACTATAGTTATGGAGATATTAACATTAGGGAAAGTTGGGTGAAAGCTATATGGAAATACTCTGTACTATTTTTGTAATCTTCTTATAAGTCAAAAATCATTTTAAAATAAAAAGTAAAGAAGACACCAGTGGGCTGGCAAAAACAAAAGGAGGATAGAAGGGCCAAGATTCAAGAGAAGGCAGAACCACAGAGAAGTGAGCTGATGTCACCTTCTTCCTGCAAGCATCTGCTGACTCAGGGCTGCTGCCGAGGGACGAAACCGGCAGAGCTCTGGTAGCCTCACAGGGCTTAAGAGACAAGAACAGGGCTAGTTATCTGCAATGTATACATGTGACAAAAGAGACATACCCAAAATACATAAAGGTACTTATAAATAAACAGGAAAGACAAATAATTTAAAAAGGGTGGGGGGAGGCAAAAAGCTTGGAATAGCCACTTAACAAAAAGAAAATATTCAAATGGCCAATAATACACAAAATGATGCTCAGCCTCACTAGTGATCAAGGAAATGCAAATTAAAATGACAATGCAATACCACTGCATACCCACCAAAATGGCTAAAATAAAAATGATGGTTAAAACGTTACTGAAGATGAGAGCTACTGTAACTCTCATACGTGGTTGCCTGCATGTTAAGTTGCTTCAATTGTGTCCGATTCTTTGTGACCCTATAGACTGTAGACCGCCAGGTTCCTCTGTCCATGGCATTCTCCAGGCAAGAATACTGGAGTGGGTGCCATGTCCTCCTCCAGGGGATCTTCTGGAACCAGGGATGGAACCCACCTCTTCTGCAGTTCCTACACTGCATGCAAACTCTTCACTGCTGAGCCACTGGGGAAGCCACATACATGGCTGGTGGGAGTGTAAACTGGAATAACCACTTGGAAAGCTGTTCAGCAGTATCCACACACACCCTACAACCAGGGATTCCACTTCCAGGAACATATCCAACAGAAATGTGCATACGCATACACACACACACGTCACCAAAAGATATGTATCATAGCATTCACAGAAACACTACTTATAAATCTAAATTTCCATTGAGTAAAAAGGATAAACATTAAATATACTATGAAATACTTATACATACTGAAAAAACTATACAGCAGTGAGAATGAATGAAAAATAACTAAATGTAATAGTATGGCTGCATCTCACAAACATAAAGTTGAAAGATAAACCAGACATAAGAGTTCATAATACATAATTCCAAAGTTAAAAACAGGCAAAACCAGTTTAGAGAATTACAAATCAAACAGGAGCTGCCATGAGCCCGTGGAAGGGAGGAGAGGCAGTAAGCAGGGGAGAACAAGGGAAGGCTCCTGGGGTCCTGGCTACATGGACATGGTTTGTCTATGAAAATTTACACAGCTGCTCATTTATAAGACATGCACTGAATATGTGGTATGTGTCAATTACTAACATAAGGCTTCACTGTTAATACTAAAAAATTAAAATTTCTTTAAAATACAACCATCAGGAAAGCTCCTGCAAAGCAGATGACAGACATTATGAAAGGCATTTCAGTCAGCACTCAAACAAATATTTGCCAATGGAGTATCTTCATTTTGATGAAGAGGGTTCCAAAAGATAATCCTAACATTATAAATAATGAATTCAGTATAGATTGCAACAGTGATAGATGATCATTTATATTATTAATTGTGGCTTTTAAACAAGTGAACTCTAAAATAAATAAGCAATCAAATGTTCTCTTCCCTTGTAAACACCACCAGCAACATACTTGTTAGAAAAGAGCACGATCAATTATAAACGAGTTTCAGTACCTGAGGCTGAGCTCTGACTACTGGTGGATGAAGAATCGCTTTCTTCACTAGTAGACTCTGAACTGCTGTCACTGCTGTCTGAATCAGAGGCAGAGGAGTCAGACTCTGAGGAGGAGGACTCGGAAGAGGAAGAGGAGGAGGATTTATTTGGCTCAACATCTGGTTTTTGTGCCACAATGACCTTTGGTATATTTTTGAGATGCTCACGCAATTCATCCCTAATTAAAAACATAACCACTGTTAGATTCTGCCTCAAAGGAACTGTGAGATAAGTTTGAGATAAGTAAGTTGAATAAAAGTCTGATAATAATTCTTACGTTAAACCTCCAAGGCCAATAGAAGTAAAGAAGTTGATGGCAAATCGAGTGTTTCTTGGGTTATCTCGGGGTAATAATCCTTCAAAGAATGGTTGCAGAGTTCTGAAAAAGAAAATGAACAAAAGAGAACAGATTGCCTAGAGATAAAAAGGCAAAATCCTCATACAGTCATTTTTCAGAATTTCTATATATTAAATCAGTAAATGAAATATAAGCAAGTGATTTAAAAATTATCGATTAGGTCAGGCTGCATGCTATCTAAATGACATGAGTAGGGTCAAGTCACAGTTTACTAAAATTGACTTCCAGTAATTTCCCTGATGGTCCACTGGTTAGGACTCAGCACTTTCACTGCCACGGGCTCCGGTTCAATTCCTGATAGGGGAACTAAGATCACATAAGTCACGAGGTGTGGCCCAAAATAAAGAAATTAAATTGATTTCTATAATTATACGAGAGTTTTTTTTAACAAAAAACTTTCATATACAGTCAGAATAGCTATACGTATGTAACACATAAAATCTATGGATACATATGTGTATTTATATTTGAGTGTATGTACAGAAAAGTAAAAAAAAAAAGAAAAAAAGCCCTCCTCTGGTGTACATACACACACTCATGTCTATACAGTACTGTGCAAGGCACTGGCAGAAGGGGAAAAGCAGTCAAGAGAAATCAAGGGTGAAGACTGTATGGAACTGCTGTTTCTCGGGAGGGGAACAAATAGAAAAACAGCAATATCACGTGGTTTTGAGTGACACACTCAGTGGACTAAGCAGCGGAGTTAGGAAAAACCATCTTTCATAGAAAAAGGTAACAATATAAGAAGAATGCTTAAGAGTTTGCTGGACAGAACAAGAGAAGGAATTCCCAGCTCTGGATAGAGGTAAGGGGGCATGAATCAGCTTATTATTATTGTTTAATAAGCTGGGCAATGTTTGAGCAGTCAGAGTGCATCTTGCTGGAGGAGTCCCAGAGCCTGGCAAGTAGACAAGGACCAATGAACTAAGTATATGAAGCTAAGAGAAGCAAATGGATTGACCCAGAGCATGTAGAATTCAGGACAGACCTCTGGCGAACATAAGCAAGGCCAAAGAAGAGAGGCTGGGAGGAGCAAGGCAGAATGAGAATAAAGTGAGGAGTCAGCCAGCAAGCGGTCAATAGTGTAAGTGAGACCAAGAGGCAAGAGGCATGAGGACTGTGAAAGACTGGGGGATTTGGCAGGTGATCACTGAGAAAACTCTCAAAGGATTTCAGGAGTATGAATGGAGTGGAAGTCAATATAAGTGGTAATATGCAATCTGAATACCTGCAAAGTAAGGAAGTTGGGATAGGGATTACATAATAGTACTGGAACAAAGCCCGAGTTCAGCATAACAATCTAAACAGTTATATGACTTATAGGACGGACTGTCAGTATATGTTTACAATTATCCACTGATAATAAAACATTATCATTCTAAGCCTCAACCTTAGGGTAAACATGAAATAAAACTACAAATACTCATTACTGGAAAATTCCAGTCAGCATGGAAAAATAATTTTGCATGTTCTAACTAAATTGAAAGAGGCATGAAATCTGCGTTTTCTCTACTTGAACTAAATGATCATTAGAAGTTTCACGTTGTTGCCTGTCACACAGAACACGAGAGTCAGAGTAGTGACTAACAGATGAAGAATGTCCTAAGGACTTAACACATATTTTTACAACTAAGAGCAGACTTATGGTTGCTAAAGTAGGAGAATAAAAGTAAGAATAAAAAGTGTTTAATTTAAAATTTAATAATAAACTTACTCATCCTTTAATCTTGCATTAAGTTTAGGAAGACCCATGTATTCACACAGCTCTTGGAAAAATATTTTCACAAAAATTCTACTGGATGACGTAGTGGTTTCTTCACTCAGTTTTATACATTCAAGAACCTAAAAATTAGAATTAAAAAAAGACATTATTATTTTGGTATTCAAAAGGTAAGACAAAGTGACCAGTATCTCTAACTTTCAGTGTCCCCTGAAATTATGATTTGTTATCTTCAATAAGAATTATCTGTAAATATCTTCCATTATGCTGATACATATTATTACCTGGGAAAGTTTAAGACTGCTTTTCTATACAAATTTTCAAAATGTTAAGATGCTACAGAAGTAAAGTTCATTCTCTTTCCTGAGCAATGTGCTTTTTATAGCAGGGAGGAATATTGTCTTTAGCATATAATGCTAAGATTACTAGCTCTTAAAACCTAGTCATCAAAATGGATGTTATCATATTGTATGTCCAGTGCATACATGTACGTGAGAAGGGTAAAGACCAAGAATGATGGCTTGTTCTGCATAGTAAGACTAGGGCTTAAAAACTAAAGCTCATAGACAGATATTTTAGAGTGAAAAAAAGTAAAAGCAACCTCCATTTTTTAATGGATCATGTGTTCCCGGAGTTTACTATTTCAATTGTTTAAAACTTTGGTTTCATTTTCCCAGAGAAGGAAGAAAAAAACAAAGTAAAAAAGTTTAATAGCCTGCTGGGTTAGCTTATAAATGCCTATAAAAGTAGTGGGACACACTTAGTACTTAAAGTGTTACAAAAATCTATCCAATGTTTATTAGCTCAACAATGCTGCTTCATTCTACCATTGGGTTGTGGTATTCTACAATATGATCTCTTTCTTCTTGGATATAATTTCTTTCGAATTTTTCAATTCCTTCAGCCTAATCTACCACTTTTATTCTGCATTATTACCATGGGCATCTTACCTCTTCTGCTATATGGTATTAAACTCCTTGAAAGCAGGGACCATATATAATTCATTTTGGAAGCCCAGCGTCTCCTTCTGGGCACAGAGTTGGTGACTAAACAAATGGTTGTTGAATGAACAGTGGTTGTACAATTAAGTGGCAGCTTACTGAATGCAGTTCAAATTCCAACCCAGAGTACATCTCCCCATCGAGAGTATCTTTCCTTGCTCTAACTACGACTATAGGAACTCCTCCCACACACTTATACAACTTCAGAGCTGGCTAAGAAAAATACATCCTGTCAGAACAGTCATTTCTCTCATGTCCTTACCAGAGGAACTTCTGACAGTTACTCCATCAGGAAACAGGCAGTAACTCAAGAGAATCATGTGCCACCAAACTGTGCTGTACATGGATAAGAGTGTGCACACACATGAATGCACACGGAGAAGATAAAAAAACTATGTTCTGAAAACATTCCTAGGTATTGCTTTCAAAAAGCACTGTAACATTTAGACTATTAATATCATTCAAAATGTTATTTCTTACATTCATCATACACTAAGTTAGCTTTTTGATATCATGTTATATGAATATAACCTCAAAGAGTGCCATTATAGTAGACGTTTGCTCCACCTGTCATTTTAAAGTACACTGCCTACATTGGAAAAGTATGGCTATGTTATACTTAATAATATTTATTTCGGAATAACAGGGGATTAGGAAAGAAGAACAAATATTGACTCATCTACTTACGCTCCATGGAAGTGAATCAGTGTATAAAAGGTGAGCAAACATCTTAGCAACATTTCTCAATTTGTTTGTTTCCAAGCGATGGATGGTATCATATTGTTCTTTGAATATACTTTCAAAGGATTCCATGTATTCTTTTTTTAGCATGCAAAATCGCTAATAAATTAAAAATAAAAATGTCAACACCATTATGAGCATATTAAATCCTAATTTTATTCAATCAAAAGTTAATAAGTATTTGTATATCATATCAATCTTCTTTGCTGTATAATGGGATGCTTAAAAAAGAAGTTAATTTATACCACCACTATCTACCTGGGATTTATATGCTAAAACAGAGTTATACACATGGCTGACCACAGATACACACATTTATATATGAGAAATATACTTCTCTATGGGTTAAGTTTGGATTCAAAAAAATTATTTTAGCTCATGTTTTATTTATGTTGTCTGAACATGTAGTTGACCAAAAACTGCTGTGAAATTCTGAAAAGACAGCATTTAATTGTTCTCTTTGGGAAACTGTTACAAAGCATGTATTGGAATGCCTCAAAGCTATGGAAGAATGATATGTAATGTTAAAGAACTACAAATAGGAAGTGGGAAGGGAGGAAGCTACAGAGATTGGGAAAACTGTGGAAGGGAAGAACGATTTGTTTTCAGCAAAGATATGTTAGTATATTAGGCCAGGCAACAAAGCAGACACATTAATTCACAATACTCATGTTCAGAATTACCCTTGTGATTTCATCAAAATCCAACATGAAAAATGAGGTCAGAACTCACCCCCGCTAATAAGCCAAAAAATTTCTCATATGTCCTTTGTTGGGCACAGCAATCAAGTATCATGTTGCAGAGTTCTTTCTATTTGGAAAAAAATTACATTAATGATTCAAAACACAACAAATCCATGCTGTGTGATAATTTATCAATATGACAAAGATAGCCTGAATTTTTAAATAAGGTTTTAAAAACATAAAACTTGGTGAAGTTGAGTTATGAAGACAAAACAAAAAATTCAATCTATGTCAAGACTATAGTTTTTTTAAAGTCTTCTGTTTGGCTAACAGAAATTCCATGTCATTTATGCTAATTAGACTGCTTATAAAATTTTAAACTCATATAAGCATAAACCACTTCAAGAAAACCTAGTAGAGGAAACAGATACATCAACAAAAAGAAACTAAATATATCGCATTCTAAAAAGATTCTATACAGAAATCTTTTAAATACAGACAACCAATACAACATTTAAACCGAATCATCAAGAATATATTTTGTTAGTATGGAAAAGGCAAAACGTGGTGGGTCTTTACAGAGCATGAGTGAGTGAGTGAAGTCACTCAGTTGTGTCTGACTCTTTGCGACCCCATGAACTGTAGCCTACCAGGTTCCTTCGTCCATGGGATTTTCCAGGCAAGAGTACTGGAGTGGGTTTACAGAGCATAAATGGGCACAACTTCAATGCTAACATAATGACTGCCTTATTGATAAGAAAATACATTTAAAAGAACAACAACAAAAAAGACCTCTGTGGCTAAGACTTTTAGCCTCAAAATAAAGGTTACGCATATAGATCTGTCCACAGATGAATCTAAACAAATAGATGGAATCATTCCATAACTGCTTTCCACACACTGTCCAATCAGTTATTTTTGTGTCTTGAAAACTCCTTTGTGAAAATTCTGTTGAACTATGAAATGCAAGAGTTAATCCAAGATCGGAAAATACCAAGATCACAAATTACTTATAATGAATAAACATTATTTAATTCCTGAAATAACCCTAATGAAATATGTATCAATTACAGCAATTTCATAGATGATGAAACTCAGGAAATATGGACAAATCAATGGAGACAAAATGAAAAAGAGAATGACCCTAACCCTAATTCTGAGTACTACTAAACTGACTAAAGATCTTTTTCTACAAAACTTATCAGAAAGTTTAAAAGTAATTTTTTTATAAATACATTAACTGTAATGTATTTGCTTTCTATAAACAGAAAGCAAGCCTATAAAATATACTATACACTCTTTCAGTTCACATTTATTTTACCTTTATATTTTCAATTAGGAATTCTGACATTTTTGTCCTTTGATAACGAGATACAATCTATTAATATGTAATTATTATACATATTTTAAAAAATGAGGTCAATATGCATTTACTGGAAATATCCATGTGCACCAGCAGATGACACCATCCAGATGATATCCAGATGGCACCACGCTTATGGTGAAATCGATGAACTAAAGAGCTTCTTGATGAAAGTGGAAGATGAGAGTGAAAAAGTTGGCTTAAAACTCAACATTCAGAAAACTAAGATCATGGCATCAGGTCCCATCACTTTGTGGCAAATAGATGGGGAGACAATGGAAACAGTGAGAAACTTCATTTTCTTGGGCTTCAAAATCACTGCAGATGATGACTATAGCCATGAATTTAAAAGACGCTTGCTCCTTGGAAGAAAAGCTATGTCTAACCTAGACAGCATATTAAAAAGCAGAGACATTACTTTGCCAACAAAGGTCTATCTAGTCAAAGTTATGGTTTTTCAGTAGTTATGTATGGATGTGAGAGTTGGACTATAAAGAAAGCTGAGCGCCATAGAATTGATGCTTTTGAACTGTGGTGTTGGAGAAGACTCTCTTGAGAGTCCCTTGGACGGCAAGGAGATCCAGTCAGTCAGTCCTGAAGGAAATCAGTCCTGAATATTCAATGCAAGGACTGATGCTGAAGCTGAAACTCCAATTCTTTGGCCACCTGATGCAAAGAACTGACTCATTGGAAAAGACCCTGATGCTGGGAAAGATTGAAGGCAGGAGGAGAAGGGGACAACAGAGGATGAGATGGTTGAATGGCATCACCAACTTGATGGACATGAGTTTGAGCAAGCTCCAGGAGTTGGTGATGGACCAGAAAGCCTGGTGCGCTGCAATCCATGGTGTCACAAAGAGTTGGACACGACTGAGCGAATGAATTGAAGTGAACTGACTGATCCATGTGCAGGGAGGAAGGGGAGCCCTGAAGCAGCACAGAACACTTGACAACTGTGCTTCCAGTGTGGCGGCCCCCAGCAATACATAGCTATTTAACTTTAAATCACTCAACATTATGTAAAACTCAGATTTTAGTTTCTTAGTCATACGTCTCAGTTTAAGTACTCAGAAACCACATGTGACCAGTATAGTGGCCACTGTACTAAAAAGGGAAGAATACAAATACTTTCATCACTGCAAAACAATCTATTGGGACAGTGCTATTCGAGAAGCTGATAATCTACTTATAAAACTATCTAATGAAAGGCCTCTCTTCACTATATAAGGTTATTTTTAGATGTAATTATACTGCTCGAGTACTACTTTTTTTAAAGGTTATTCACAAGTTGCCTCAATTAAAATGTTTATAAATGTCTAAGTTCTGAAGAGATGCACTTTGTCAAAATTTAATATAGTACTAAAAAACCTAAGTAACCTTTTCTGAATTCTGCCACACAATGTTAATTCAATATATTAAAATGCATTTTCAACTTCTACCAACTCTGTATTTTACAGTAAAGTAACACTTAATCAGGTTTTAAACAATATAACATGGTAATATGCTGATAGCACTGCTAATAAAAGTCAGCACGACCTGAAAAACAAATTACTTTCTTTCTGAGACTAAATGCAATTATAAGAGTTAATTCTTGTGGCATAAAATGATTAAATATTTTAACATTTTAATTAAATATCATAGTGATTTTAGGAGATTTCTTTGGAGTGCATGAAAACAGACTCACTAAGACACTCCCCCAAATGTTATCAAAATATGTTGAAGTTCTCAGCACAAATGCTACAGGCAAGAAGACAATGAAAAGCCATATTCAACATGAAGTAAAAAAAAAAATTTCTAGCAAGAATGATCTACCTAGCAAATAATCTTTCAGATATGAGGGAAAAATAAATATTCTGGCCTGTGGTTTCAAGAGAAAAAAATGGTGACGTTAAGTTCTAGAACAACTATCCTCTGCATTAATAAAATTTTTAATAAAAATTATATTCAGCAAACAATGTGACAAGATCATACCATAACTTTAGTTTCACTTATAATTTTAAAGGTTAGTTCACTCATTTATTCCCTTCCAATGATAATACATCAGGTATACCCATAATACATATAAGGACACTATTATTAATATATCAATAAATAAATTTTAAGAGGGAAAAAAAATTTTTTTTAATTTGTAAAGAATCATCTCTTCTCAAAATTCTATACCATGGCATTTCAAGAACTAATCTACATTCTTAAACAAAGATTGGGACGCTTTCTCTGGAAAAGACCAGACAGCAAGTATTTCAGGCTGTTAGCGGCCATATGTTCTCTGCTGCAACTAGTCAATTCTGCTGCTTTAGGGCAAAATCAATCACACACAATACATCAACCAATGCGTAAGGCTGCACTCCAATAAAACTTTATTAACAAAAATGGGCAGTGGGCCTGGGATAGTATGCCAATCCCTGTAAGAGAACATATTTAAGGCCTTAAGTCAAAGGACTTCTGTGTAATGCTAACAGCTCAGTCAAGATCTTTTAGAAGAACCAGAAATCAAACAGCCTGTTAGAGTTGATACATTGACTCTGGACCTGTGCTGAGTCTATTACATGTAAATCAAGATATGAAAAACCAAACCCTGAAAGCCTTTGCTTCAAATTTCAAGCATCCAAAATTTAGGTGGGCAGGGAGCAATATACATAAGGAAAGAATTAGGAAAAAAAAAACAAACCTAAGATAATCTTTTCAGTCTAACCTTTATTATCCCTGGTATTAGGGTTCCATATTTTGAACAGTTAAGTGTATGTACTGAGTTATAAGACTATGAGTCCCATGGGCTAAGAGGGGGCTAAAATGTACTTTATGGAAAGCGGAATCCCTGACACCTTACAGAATGCCTGACATATATAGTATACGCTGAATGTGCTCAGTTGCTAAGTCATGTCCGGCTCTTTGCAACCCCATGGATTGTAGCCCACCAGGCTCAGACTCTGTCAATGGGATTACCTAGGCAAGAATACAGAGTGGGTTGCCATTTCCTTCTCCATATATGCTGAATACATTTTGTTAAATGAATTAATGAATAAAAAAAATGGAACAGGTTCTTCTATATCCACTTAAAGTAATGGAACAAGAAGTATGGTGATCTTTACAGCTTCTATGACAAAAGAACGCGTTAGTGCATAAAGCAGATGGACCAGGTACTGCATTAAGGAACAAACTTCCTATTATATTTAAGGCACCATTTGATTTATAAGCAACCACTCAGAAACCTGTGTAAAGTATGGTGGTTCAGAGAGACTTCCACCTGTTCTCACATCTCAAACAAGCAGCTGATTCAAATCACTGGAATGAGCAGCATATATGAAGCAGTGAGTTACTGATTCATTTCATGAAACTTATTAACTATCTTAAACATTTTTATAACATACACATATACATTTTATAACACAGATATTTCCTAAAAGAAAAAAAGTACTAACTTACTGTTTGACTCTCAGGAAACTCCATTTTTAGCAACTTGTGAGCACATTCTTCAAAATCTAAACTGTAGAGATAAAATGGTCACAATAGTTAGGTTAAAAATAGCAGCATATTTAAGTTGCAACACTCTTTCATATATAAGAATCTTACCTTAATAATTATCTAAAAATTTTCTTCTATAATTTCATATTATTGTATTGTATACATAAAAAATATAAGGTTTTTAACTCTACAAACAATGAAGTACTGATACATATTATGACATGGGGGGACCTTGACTGATGCTAAGTGAAAGAAGTCATACATAAGACCACATATAGCATAATTCCATTTATATAAAAAGTCCAGAATGTGCACAGAAAGTGCACAAATCTTTATTATACTGCTAAATATTTCCACTTCTCCCTGATCCAAGTTAGGAAGAGATAAAAGATGTTTCAAGAGCCCAGCATGACATCCAGAGCTTAATCACCACACTTTCAAGTTATCTTGATTCATACCCAAATATAGGGCTTTTACACTATATAAGAAGTTAGTATGAAAACAGTAAATAACTATAATCACTTACAAAGAATTTATTTTTGTACAACATTCACATAAATTGCATGAAAAATATTTTCAATATGCTTTGCTTAGATAATTATCAAACTCAGTGTGAACCTGATTCAGGAATAATGCCAGTATCTTTTGATAACAGCAATATAAAATAATCACCCACTGAATTTAGTTTTATAGTTCATCAGTACTCCTCAGCTTCTATTACTTATTGGGTTTCACAAGCACAAAAGGGTAATAATTCAGGATGGTAGAATGGAATTAAAAAAAAAAAACTAAAAAATGAAAAAAATCTATCAAGAAAGAGCATTCATAACACGTAATATTAAATAATAACTAGCACTAAGATTAAAATAGCTAACTGTAGTTGATAAACTTCAGTAATGCAGCAATACCAAAAAGTATTTTAAAAAATGTGACATTTTCTTTCTTTTTTTTTTTAAACAGAATTAGTATTTAGGGGAAAAAATCCTATAATTTCTGAAAAACAAGTCAAGTAGTTCATGGAAAATTCTTACAACTTTCCTTTTGTCTAATAAGTGAAGAATCAAAGAGAATGTATGACAGTATCTTCTGTGTTCTTGTTTGACTTAAAAAGTATTTGGTGACTCCCTACCATGTTTGTTTTGAAGTTGCACTAAATGTAAATATTAAAGAAATTATTAGCTTTGCTTGCTATTTTAAACCAAACATATTCCAGAATTAACAGTGACTGAGGGAAGGGTAAAGAAAATAGATTTTACATAATGCCAGTTTTCAATGGTTTGTTGATGTCTCCAATCTAAGAAACTTCAAATTGTTAAGGACATTACTCCAGTAATACAACATCAGACTGCAACATCACTTATAACCAAGAACAACCTGGAATGTCCAACTTTTAATAGCAAAGTTAACTGTGTAGTTCAATGTTTGCATAAATAAAGAGGACTGTTTAAGCAGCCAGAACAGTAGAAAGATCAGAGTATTGGTGAGGTCAGTCAACAAGTATAAAAGGAAAGAAAATTAAAAAAGTAAAATCCCCAAATAGTTCAGTCACCAGAACTTGGTTTTGTTCACAAGATTTCCAAAAGTGAACAGTTTATATAAATAATCCAACCTCTTCTCAAAATAATCACTGTTGATACATTAGTGTATTGTTTCTAGAACCTGCACACCTACTTATACAATTAAGATAATGCTATCAGCATGGTGCCATATATTATATATTATTAGTTTTTTTATCCCCAACTAACATCAAATCAGACCACTTGCCTACATCAATACTAATTCTCCATTAACCTAATTTTTAATAGTGGCATTAAACATGAAAACACTTTGATTATTCATATTGAACAATAAGATTTTTCTCTTTTTTGCACTAAACAATTCTCTGTATAATTCTCTGTTAATATGTATTTCTTTATGAAATATAATGAAAAAGAAGGGTCAAATGGCAATCAAACTAAGCCATTGATTCATGCTACCAAAAGCTTTCCAAAAGGAATACACCAATTTAAATTTCCACCAAAAATCTTACTGTGTATCTAACTGAAATCATCATTGAGTACTGTTGCTTAAAAAAAAAAAACCACTTTAGCTGTTTTAATGACCAACAATGTTACTTATTCATCTAAAATATTTGTTTGATAACATTTTTATGTTTTATAATCCCATTACCTGAGCCTCCCAACCATGTCCTTTAAATACCTTTTTATCAAAGCTGTGTTTACTTCCTAAAATTATTTTTACTAGGCATTTAGGGGCTGAGAACATTTAACAAATAACATATGAGAGTATTTATTGTACTATTACTAGAAGTGGTAGCACTATATATCAAGTGTCGATCACTTGTCTCATGTTTTAGTTTTTCAAACATTTTTGTGTGATTCAGAGGTTATTATTATCGAGGTTAGATCACCTAAAAAATAAAGTTTCTTTAAAATAATCATGCAAAGAGCTCCACTGTGACTCTTCAAAGTTAATGTTAACAGCAATATTAAAACAATGAATCTGCTCTTTACAACTGATTACCATTGAATTTCTTAAAAAAAGGACAAACAAAAGGTCAAACTCTAAAGCTCTAAGAATAGCTACTTATAACAAAAATTTCTCGTTATCCACTTTTAAGTCTGTATAAGAAAATATTAGTTTTTTGCTTTCATGTGAAAGGCAAAGAAACATGTATGGGTAAAGCAAAAAAATTTCTAACTAACGTTTTGCTGTTTAACATTTCTCTTTTTGAAGATGAATCTAAGCCAAAAACTTTTCAGACAGACTGAAAACAAGATGACTCCTACTTATGAATCATTTTTGCTATTACATCATACTAAATGGAAATATACAAAACCTAGTAACAAAACAAAACAGGGAAAATATTCCTTCTCCACTGTAAAATATAAACATGGTGCCCACTAAATCAATAGGTTGATTCCCATTGAAAACAGATGTACTCAGCATTTAATATTTTCATTTATTTCTCTTTAAAACTAATCTCACAGACTTCAAAGGGAAAAGGTTGTTTTCATGACATCATAGCAGTTCTTGCTTAATATTATTTCAAAGAGTCCTTAAAACCTTCCTAAGTCTATTTCCTACTTCCATTCACATTCATTTCCATCTGCACAACAAATCAGTGTCCAAATATCACAACAGAGTTTCTCTCCTTAAGAGCCAGAGTTAGAAAGCAAATTAGAAAAAAATAAAACATTAAACTTCCACTACACAATACTGTGCTAATTCTGTAATATAGAAATGTTTTCAGATTGTTAGTGATATTTAATTGTAAGAAATGACATAACTTAAAAAAATTTTAATTAGGTAACAGTTAAAAGTAAAGACAAATTGCTCCTGTAGATTCCTAACAACAGTAGGAATCTACAATCTGGGACTTGGGATGGTGGCGGAGAGACAAGCAGTTGGAGAATCCCTGCAACCATGTCCAGTTTTCTGTCACCAGATTCTAACAATCCCATCTTCTTGCCCATCCCCTGTCAAAAATTAGGATAAACTGAGCTACCGTATCTTACCTTGACTGAATAGCAAGATAAATGGTACGACGAAATGAGACTAGATTAATTTCTGTTTTGTCATGAATAGTCACCTTTTGTCCTGAAATTAAACATAACAAAATTATAAAACTATAAAAATAAATGAACTGAAAATGTATCCCTTTATAGTAATGTTTTCATAATCTTTTTAGAATCTATGAGTTTAATATAATATTCTCTTCTACAGTGTAAGTTAGTATTGATGTTTACAGAATTCAACATAACTATTTCTAGTCTTTTGCCATATCTTTGAGTATTTTAATAAGTTTTGCCAGCTCAAAGAAGTCCAGAGCCAAACCAAGAAAACTACTTTGGTTTCTGGGTCACCTGCTCATTTAGACATTATAAAAGGCTGCACTTAAGCTGTTGTTAGAGAAAACATTATTTCTATGTTTATAAACAGTTATCTTTATAATTTGGAAGAACTATAAATTATGGGTACAAATTCAGGTTCAGAGAACACTGGGTCAACATGACAGGTTGGATGGGTCCAATACAAATATGAGTATTTGTTGAAGTTTTATCTTATCTGATGCATGAAAACTTTATAAACATTTAATAGTTTTTATCTGAACTGTATTTTCACATAAGACAAATTCTAAAGTTAAATGTTAACTTGGTTAGGAGACATTTTAAATGAAAAAGACACTGGAAAAAAATTAAACATATTTTTATAAATTATGTTGTAGAAGAGCTACTATACTCTAAGACAGAACTAAAATATATTATGCCCTAGAAGGGAAAGTTATACTTTTAATATTTTCAAATATGTAACATAAGCAAATAGTGACCAATGTATATATATTCTGATGTTTTAATGGAGACTTAACCAAAGTAAAGTTCTGAGCTTATTTTCCTATGAAATAATATAATCAAAGCTGAAGAGGAAGGACATCATGCCTGCTTTTGCACAAATATAGCTTTTGGCTTCCCCAATCTATTTTTCCAAAATGAAGAGCAAATATCTAGTCACTTGCATCTGTCACATTCACGTCACAGCAACATAAATCACATGTACTCAACATGAATGCACCTTTTTCATAGTTCATAATCAAAGTCATAAAACATCAAATTTAAATTATGCTGGTATTAAAAAATGAATTTCCTTATTTCATACTTTTACAGCAGGCTCTTTCAACCTTGCCAATGCTGGTATTTTGGGCTGGATAATACTTTGCTGTGAGGGGCATTCTTGTGACTCATAGGATGTTTAATACAACCCTTGCTTTCACCCACTAGATAACAGAGCATCTCTCCCAATACTCCCCAGGTTAAGAATCACTGTTTAGAGGATTACATTAGAGTATTCTGGGCGTATATGTTACAATTTTACTTGCAGCTACACTTTTACCTTCTTCATCTTCTTCTCCCTCTTCCTCCTCTTCTTCCTCCTCCTCTTCACTACTTCCAGCATCTTGGTCTGTGTTTGAGTCACTATCTCCTTCATCAAGAATTTCTAAAAGAACAAAGTTAAGTTTAGGAAAACATGAATGAGCAAGGGATATAAATGTATCTCATTCTGGGAAGATAATCCTCAGTTCACTACAACCCAGAGTGGTGTAAGAGTTTATCAACCAACAAAGATGAACACACAGGTCTCATATTATTACCTAGGTATTCAGAGAGCACTATAACTAATTAGACTAGAGCAAACCGTACGTATAATTCTTCTGCTAGACAGAAAGCAGCCATGAAATAACAAGGGATGAGAAGAACAAAGAAAAAGTAGATGAAGGTTTTCCAAAAGAGCAGGAGCACTGGAATAATAAATTAGGGAGAGAAATTAGCATCATGGAGAATGGAGTCAAAGTATTACTAGTTCATCCCCAGCAAGAAGATAAGTCTATTATAAAAAGCAAAGATGAGCAAGAGAAAACAAGAATTTAGCCTGGGAAAGTTTTCTGAAAGACAAAAAAGACAGAAGGAAAAAAATGCATAAATTTAGTGTTTACTCCCTGATGGCTAAGATGGTAAAGAATCTGCCTGAATGAGAGAGACCTAGGTTCAATCCCTGGGACGGGAAGATTCCCTGAAGAAGGTAATGAATGGCAACTCACTCTAGTATTCTTGCCTGGATAATCTCATGGACAGAGGAGCCTGGAGGGCTACGGTCCATACGGTCATAAAGAGTAGGACACGATTGAGTGACTAACACATTTAGGTAGTGAATGAAATTTAAATAGTAGTGAGATTTTTATTAAAATGTATACCTATTAAGTAGAACATTATAATTAATCGATAGAATTTTCATATGTGCAATAGAAATGGAAGTCTAAAGGCCTTTAAAAAAACCGGTAACTCCACTTCTTTGGAGTATCATTTCTTAAAATACAACTCACATTCAGAACTATTCACAATTATGATGTAAAAGACTACATGAGATCTATCATCATGTTAACGGTAATAAACAAATGACAAAAACTAGAATCATATTTTGTCCAACGGCATGTGTTCCATCAGTCTGACAAAAGATTTTACAAACCTGGCCAACAATCCCCCTTTGCATTTTTATTGTAATCAGACAGATTTTAATACAGTTTTGGGGCCAAGTAATTCTTAGAAAAATTCTAATTTCCTTATATTTACCTAAATAGTATAAATCAGGAGCCACATGTAATAATGTTAGCAGAGATCCACATACTAGAGAAGCAAGTGATTTTACAAAAATGGAGAGTGGTCATTCAGCCCTTAGCTGACATACCAATCTCTTCAAGAATATTTCTAACCAATGTGACTTCAAGAAATGATCTGCAGTGTCTAGTTTATAATGCGGCTCAGACAGACCTTTAAAAGGGGAAACTATTTAGTATTCAACAGGAGGAAGAACGGCACTCCTGCTGTTTTCCCAAATGCTCTAAGACCTAAAACACAAGTACACCTGGGTCACTCTAAGGTGCTAATTACTAAAGCTGTGCCCACTTCCTGCTGCGGTCATTTTTTTTAATGCCAACTCTAGAAGAACATTTTACGAAAGAATGAAGGTCAAATGGATTATCTAGCTGTTTACATCATCCTCTCCTATCCCTTAACTTTAGGATCTACTTACTAAAATCATCTAGGCAATGACAACTGGATTTTAGTAACTAAATAAAGCAGTGGTTTCCAAGTATGGTCTGTGAATCCTGGAGGAAATCACTGACACCTGCCAGGTGGTCTGTAGGTCAAACTATTTTCATAGTAATACCAAGATATCTGCCTTTTCACTGTGCTGACATGTGAAAAAAAGACGCAAAAGCAACAGGAGTTAAACACTGCTGCATCCTGAGCACAACCAAGGTATCAAGCTGCACAAGTACTCATTGTACTTTTTACTGCCACACTAATGTAGAAGGAAAAAAGCTTCTTTAAGAACGCCTTCGAAGAAAAAATGTAAAATTATTAATTTTGTTAAGTCCTAGCCCTTGAGTATCGGCATTTATAGTAGTTTGAATAAGAAAATACAAAGTTTATAGATAGCACTTCTGTTAAAAGACAAATGCACAATGGTGATGGTTATCTCAAGGAAAAACACTTGCGTGACGGAGGTGCAAGATGAATTACTTATATTTTTCATTTTTACTTGAAACAATGGCAAACAAACTAGAGTCATTAGGTATTTACCAGATATTTTCTAAAATATAAAGTAATACTGTTATTTCAAGGAAAATAGCCAACAGTTATTTTCAGACATTTGCCACAATGATCAAATGAGTTTTCAAGAGAAAATCAGAATTCTAGAAAACATATCTATTCCTATGAGCTTGCCAGCTTCCCAAAATGTTAAAGAGTTTTCTGATAAAGACGGGTGGTAATATGAATAAATGTGATTTCTTGAGAATATATTAATGTGTCAATTTAACTTTGATAACATTAACACGTTAATACTTGGAATATGTGAAAACTTAGTGCATCAGTATTTTCCAAATGACTGATGAAACATGTTACAAAATCATGCTTGGGTAAAAGATCCATTCAAAGTGACAGGCCAACATATTTTAATGTTAACAAAAGAGGAAAATTAATGGATATAATTTCAGGTTTCACAGTACAATTAAATCATTAAGAAACTAATAGCTATTAAATATTTAATTGAAATAGTGTTAAACAGAAATATACATAATTCTGAAAAGGCTATTAAAATACTCTTCCCTTTCCAACTACCTATCTATGGTGAGGTTAAATTTCCTTCATATATTTCAATCAAAACAACCTACTGCAACAGACTGAAATCAGAAGCAATATGAGAATTCAAATGTTTCCCACTAAGCCAGACACTAAATTGCACAAAATATTTACAACATACCATTCTTTTTCTTAAATTTCTTTGTTCATAGTTATTTTTATAATAACATGTAACTTTTGCAAATATGTACTAGGTTTATTATTGTTATTTTGAAATGACCTAATATTTTTTATACTCTCCATTTAAATTTCTAGTAAGTAAACGTCAATAGATACAACCCACATAAACAAAAGGTCTTTGGAATTCTCAATAATTTTTAAGAGTATAAAGGGATCTTGAGACCAGAGTTTAAGGAATGCTATAGTAAAGAAAAGTACTACTTTCTTGGCCAACTGCCAAGAACCTAATAAAGAAATGGGTAGGGAATTCCCAAGTATAAAAAAAGGAAAAAAAAAAAAAAAAACCCAAAAACCTCTATACCAGGTATAATAAGAATTTCACAAAATTATTGGTATCTTTTAGGGAGACTATGGAGAAGGAAATGGCAACCCACTCCAGTATTCTTGCCTGGAGAATCCTGTGGACAGAAAAGCCTGGTGGGCTGCTGTCCATAGGGTCGCACAGAGTTGGACACAATTGAAGCAACTTAGCATGCTTGCATAGCAGGGAGACTACAGAAAAAGAAATCCATACGAGAAGACAATAGATTCAAGTGGTTTCTCTGTTTGGAAACTAAATTTATTACAGAAAAAGGAATCTGGCTATCACAGCGAAATGTCCCTAGTGTACCAGATTTCAGGATAATGTATAAAATGGGAAGCTTCATACACTTTTACTTCCCCTTCAACGCTCTACTTCTAAGCATGATTAAAGCACAGAACGCGGCAATGATAGAGTTCTACATCTCTGCTCTCTCTTCCGAGGAGCTTTCAGAGCTGTAAGTATTTGTTAGGTAAAATCACAACTCAAGGGAAATAACCTTATAAAATTATTACAGAATTGTAATATGTAAAATAATATAAATAATTATAAATTAGAATGATGTAAGCAGCTCTGAACATTAGCTTTAGAAGAAAAATAATGACACACATTAAAAAAAAACAGCACCAGTGTCTAAATACTTGCTCTCTGGTAATATAAAGTACCGTATTTTATTTATCCTTACACAAACATTTACTCTTATATCAAACAAATAACTTACTCTAGGTGACTTAGCTAGTAATGGCAGAAACAAAATATAAACCAATACCTATACAAACAGTGCTTATGATATATAATAATCAATTTATTGATTAAGTATATTAAGCTACTGTGATTGATTTTATCAGAAAGACATAAACCTGCCCTCAAGAAATAATGAAGTACAGAACTTTATAATACAGTATAGCACTTAATCAAATATTAAATTGGTGGCAATTTAAGCAGCAACTCTTAAGTGGAAGTGAAGTTAAATAACGGCCACTGTAATACATGAATATTTCTTAAGAGGGATGATGCTGAAAAGCTGCATAATTAGAGAGAAAAAGAGAAGAAGGAAAATGAGTTAAATAATTTAAAATGAAATAATACCATGGATAGGACTTCCCTGGTGGGCTATAGTCCATACAGTTGCAAGAGAGTCTGACATGACTTAAGAGACTAAACAGCAGCAACAACAATACTGTGGATAAGCACTAAAAAGAAAAATAATGCATGGGCAAACAGTGCAAAGAGAAAGGCTTCATAGAGAAAAGATTTCAATAGGCAGGGGTCAGAGTGATCTATACCATTCTATCACTATCATATAATTAAATAAACTTCTTCTTTTAAAAGGAAATTATTTTTTAAAGTTTTACATACCCTTCTTAATAGCTCTGTACTTCTCTTCATTCTCCATAAAATTAGGATCCATCTTGAAAACATCTCAAAAATAAATAACACAAGTTAAGTTACTGTTTATTTTCGATATTAACATTTGTTTGTATGCCACTTCCCAATGCCCACCCCTGACTTACTAAGAACATCTTCTGGATTATAGTCATCTTCCAGAGGAAGCATGTGGGTGAACTGATCATCTTCTTCCACTAAATCAAGTCCTCCTAGGATAACAGGGTGGTCCTTGAATCCATCCTTCCTTACAGCAAACATCACTTCAATCATATACTGAACCCTTTTGTCAATTTCAGACTCATGGAGAATGTTTCGAAGGCGTTCAAATATAGCTAAAGTTAAACACAAAGAAAATAAAATAAGCACTACATATAATAATACTCAAACAAAAGCTCAATCTCAAACCAAGGATATATATTTACCATTGATCCCTCTTGGTGACACTTGTGTTAATTTGAGACCACATTCCTTAAGAAAACCAATAGCTACTTCAACGCTATCATCTGTTGGTCTTTCCAGAAGCAAAGTGAGCATTTCTAAGCATAAAACTTCATGAGCCTTGAATAGAAAGAAGACACAGAAAATGCTTTCACATGTATTAATCTACTACAGATGGTAATTTTAAAAATTAGTAAATCTAGTTTTTACAGTGATGATATTGTACATATAATGAGCAAAGTTTCATAATATACATAAAAATACTCTAAATATGGGATACAATTTTTCTTTTACTTCCATTATGCAGCTGCAAAGAATTCCCTGATGATTTTTCCAAAAATCTTAATTTACTACACTGGATACAACCAGATGATTTATCTCCAGCAGAAATATTCCCCTTATACTCTCTATATAGGAAAGATATATTATCTTTAGGAAATGTCATAATTAACCTCAAAATAGAAGTTAAAAGTCATGTACTAATTTTTAATCTGAGATATTTTCATAACTACTATATGAAGAAAAGTAACATGATTCTTTTTATAATATCCTTCTCCATGATCACAACTCTATATACATTTCCCAATTCATTCTCTCAGCAATTCTGTTAGCAAATAGTTCTTAAATTACATGAATACTAATTCTCTCAGAAAATTTCTTTCTATAGTTTATAGCATACAATGACAGTTTGAATACTTCTATTTTTATTTAAATTAAACTCTACACTGGCATGGTCAAAGTTTAGAATTTTATAAATGCCAAGTAGAGAGGGAATAAAATTATATTGAGAAGCTTTGCTGTAAAAAAAAATGGACTTAGGAAGCGTGTTTAAAAGACCATACATATGCCTTTTAAAAACGAGACTCTTACTTGAGATGGATAGACAACTTAGGAAAATATCTTCTTCACATCTAGCACAATATCAAAAATGAACACTGCTTTTATTTTGGGAAGATGGGCAAAGTTAAACAGTCTTACATTAGGGACAAGAAAATACTGCCCTGTACCACAGTTTGGAAGATGCAAAATACTTGTCATTTTAACTGGTTTATGTCAATGTCAAAAATATCTCCAAGTGTAGTATATATTAAAAAACTGAAACATATCTGTGCTGTTGTAGTCTGTGATATTAGGTTTACAGACATGTAAAATTAAGTTTCTGTGATCTTAAGTAGAAAATTATCATTTTAATAATATGAATAGGTTAAAATCTAAAAGTTTTCTTAAAGTGAATACCAGAATTTCATGTAGCAAAGAATTAAAATATTATTAAATGTTACAGAAATAAGATTAAGTGTGACTTCAAAATTCTTCCTCTTAAAGATAATTTTTAAAAATAATACACATCTGAAGGAAAACTGTGAGTATGGACAAGAGCAATTTTACGGTTTTCATTTTTTAAATGTGGCTCAGCAGGTAAAGAATCCGCCTGCAATGCGGGAGACCTGGGTTCAATCCCTGGATTGCGAAGATCCCCTGGAAAAGGGAAAGGCAACCCACTCCAATACTCTTGCAAATACTGGATCGCAAAGAATCAGACACGACTGAGCAACTTTCACTTTCATTTCCCCCTGGAGAAGGGAATGGCAACCCACTCCAATATTCTTGCTTGGAGAATCCCAGGGACAGAGGAGCCTGGCGGGCTACAGCTCATGGGATTGGAAAGAGTTGGACAGGAGTGAGCGACTGACGCATAATATAACAAATCAAAACTCTCAAACAGTGGATAAATAAAAAAAACACAAAAACTAAATAAAAAAATGATAAATTTTTGCATTTAAAACAGATTAAAATTATTTAGTACACAATATTTTATAAAATGATTCTAAGAATACATGAGTATATACATATACCATGTAGTTATATGTATGAATATACACATATATATGCAGTTGTGGGGAATAGCATTTTTTAAAGAATATCATGTTAGGTTTTCTTGAACACTGGGTACAGGGAAAAGAGAAGAAACAGTAACTTTTTAAATAAAAACACATTATAGTCTTTGAAGGAAAAATATTCAGTTAAGTAACCATGTAGAGTATTAAGAGTTTGATTATTATAGTTCTAAAACTAAAATATCATTCAGGATACTTTTCTGAAGGACTGTAAGTCAAAACAAAGATGTCACTGAAGCGACATCAAGCCTGTGGTCTAATGCCACTGAATGGCACAAAATTGTGAAAATAATTACTTACCACATTTTGATTAATAAGATGTGCCACAAATTTTGAAGCTGTCAGACAAAGTGGCTGAAAAGGGAAATTAGAGACAAAGTTAATCTATAAACTAAAACCAATTTTCATTTATCTATAGAGTTTACAGTTTACTTACACACTCTACTTAAAATATGTAACATGCAAGGTAATTTTAACGTGTTATAAAATAAAAATTAGTATATGTGAAAACATGCCATTTCTGGATCAATAGAAATCAACATCACTTACTAAGGTTGAGACTTACAGTTGATAAGGTTTATTAGTATGTTATCTGTAGCAGTCTACTTACAAGTCCATTACATATACCTTATCATTTCTCCGATAGCCTTTTCGAAAATTAAGAATTAATCTTTTGAGGATTAACTCTCCAATTTGTGGAAATTTTGAGTTGATAATTGCCACTAATGCTGCATAAACATGGGTGAAGATTGGAGAAGCACTCTGTGCTTGCAAAACAGATCTGGATAGCAGGCCTCTGGTTAAATGGGAAAAGAACAGGAATCAACAATACTCACTGATTTCATTAGAAGGAAAAAAATTCAACTAAAATCCAGCTACATTACTTCTCTGTAAATCATCATAAAAGCTAAATCAGGACTAAATTTTCACTACCCTTATCTAGAGGAAGAAATTGTCTTACTAATAAATTAAAACTGATTTTGAGGAAATAAAATTTCAATCTGTACTTATATAAAATAGATTTAATATTATTTTTTTCAAAAATTTTTCTCTCTAAATAGAAATCTTCTTTTCCAGTTGCTGTTCATTACATCTAATCATGAATTTAAGTTCTTAACTTCTTATATTAATTCACTTAACATTATCAAAAGAAAAGGGAGAAAAGACCTGCTTCAAAAGTATTGAACTTCAACTTTAAGTAAAACTTCCACTATGAGCCCATCATTCATCTAAATTAATTCTGCAATTAAAGACAAATCTGGGTGGCTTCCATCTAAAAGACAGGTTTAAGTCTACTGTTCGTGAAAATAAAAGTGAAAACAATATTCCTGAGAGAGAGAAGGACATAATGTAAGCACTGCAAAAATAATGCTAAAACAAGGACAGGAATATAAAAGGTCCTACCTTCTAACTCATTTTGAAATGGACATGTTTCTATCAATGTATATATTTGATAAGAAGAGAGATACAAAATGGGCTAACTGAAGAGTTATTTTTAGCAATTTAATAACAAATAATTATTCGGTTGTCAAAAGGCAGAAAACTATGTCTTCATAGTTATTAGGTTTAGGTATGACATCTGAATCACTAGAGTAGAAAATGAAAAAAGAGAACTCAGCTTATAAACTGTAACATCTTAAATTACCCTTCTAACTTCTGAGTCTGCTTCTTTCTGAATAAAATGAGAGTGCTTTCCTGTGGCTGCCGCCCAGTCACCTTACTAACCCCTACAACGTGCTACACTTTACTTTATATATATATATATTCCCAAAGTTCTGTGCTGATGATCAAGGTCATAGAGGAAAATAGTCCTCAGATTTTAAAATAAATAGAATACAGAATATTTCTATTTCCTGATGAGTTAAAATATCACAAGTACTTAAAAACCACACAGAAAATGGTTGTTATTCCCTTCTGCTTTTCTAAAATTTACTACTTATCTTTCTCATTTCTTTCACATTCCCACTTTGCTTTCATTAGAAATTAAACTGGTGTGAGAATCACTTTGTGTATATATAAAGAAATTATTTATTTTTCTTCATGAGCTTAAATTATTGGAAGTATTCAGTCAATAAATAACTATGCCAAAATCATTATGTGACATCAAAGCTTCTCAGACAGTAAAAACGCCACACAAGCTCTAACAGTTGAGTATAAGTTATTTGTTAGTAGTTTACATATTTATAACTGCATTTTAAATACTCCTTGAAATTTTCTTTGAAATGAAATAAATGATTATTCTTCATGTAGACATTATTTTCCATTGAAAAAGTGCTATGAAATACTACAAATAAAATAGCCAATGCTTACCTTCCTCTAACTATATTTTCTTGAAGAAGTTCTTGAATAATAATACCAATATTGGAAATGTTGACTTTGTTGATCAGGCCATTGATAGATTTCTTCAGGGCTTCCCAGCTCATCCTCTGGTATGCTAAGCTAAAAAGAATTGATTTTAATAAAGATGAAAACTCAGTCAACAATTAGAACAACAAGAGGTTATAAGAACACAAAAAATACTTAGTGTTCCTTTATTTTCAAAATAATTTTCAAAAAATTACCCAAAAGAACAATAAAATATATGACCATGTGGATATACAGATTATACCTAAACCATATCTGATTCTCCATACATGTGATACTAATATAAAAAATTCCTTTTAATGACATAATAAAATAATACAAGGATATGTAAGGATAACATTGTCCTTATGTCCATGTATGTGTGTCTCAGCTGCTTAGTCGTGTCTGACTCTGCAACCCCATAGGCTGTAGCCCACCAGGCCCCTCCGTCCATGGGATTCTCCAGGTAAGAACACTGGAGTGGGTTGCCATTTCCTTCTCCAAAAGTAACTAAAGAAAGAAAGAAAGTGAAGTCACTCAGTCATGTCCAACTCTTTGCAACTCCATGGACTGTAGCCTGCCAGGCTCCTCCATCCATGGAATTTTCCAAGAGTACTGGAGTGGGTTGCCATTTCCTTCTCCGGTCCATGTATATTGCAATTTATAACATGTATTAGTTAGATTCAGTACATGCTTATTTTATAACACTTAATTTACTAAACTTACTGTTAAAGGAAATGTTTTAAAGTAAAAGCAACTATTTTTAATTTAAATTACAATATATAATACCTAAATATAAGCTGTGATAAGGAAATCTGGTATTATGTTCCTTCTCATAAAAGCATGACAGAAGAAAAAAATTAAGTTTTAAACCATAAAGAAATAGTATTAATTATAGAAAAAGAGAAAGTCATACAAAATCATGGGACTGAAAGACTGTACTAACTATATTAAAGAACACCTCTATATTTAAGCAGTAGTCCCACAGGTTTATTAGCTGAATGCTAGATGGCTACACTGTTTGTTTTTTTTAACTTAGAGCACAGGTAAATTATTTAGTCTAAACGGGTTTCTTTAGGTTGAACTAGGTAATATCTAAGGTCTTTTAAAGCTCAAATTCTATGGGTTTTATCATTATTTCTCCATGGAATATGATTTCAGGTGCAAAAAGTCCCAACTTTTCCTTATTTTTCTCTGGCAGTCTGGTAAAGGTGATGAACTTCTTAGAATAATGTGTGTAAATATATAGGATAACAAAGGATACCAATCATATTGAAATAGAGCTTTCAAAGCATGAAAAGAACAAAAGTTCGATATAGTATCCTATGTACTTCTTAACACATTATATAGCAAAAAGTAGTAGTAGGCATAGTAGCTTCTTTAATTCACAAGTAGCATAAAAGGTATTTTAAGGTACTTGTAACAAATAATGTTAATACTATGGTCTGCTGCCTACATTTCTGATAGAAATATTAAACTACATCAATTGAAAAAGATGTAATTTTTTCCAATTCACATTCATGGACTGCTTGAATTTTATCCATGGACCTCTTGAAAGTCTATAGGTTAAGATTCCCTGTTTTGAACCCTCCTACACTGTTGATGGGAATGTAAACTGGAGCAGCCACTACAGAGAACAGTATGGAGGTTCTTTAAAAAACTAAAAGTAGAATTACCATACAATCGAGCAAGCCTACTTCTGGACATACATTCAGAAAAGACAAAAATTCTAATTTGAAAAGATACGTGAACCCCAATGTTCACAGTGGCACTATTTATTAATACAACAGTTAAGACATGGAAGCAACCTAAGTATCCATCAACAGATGAACATATAAAAAAGATGTAGTATGTCTACACCATGGAATATTACTCATCCATAAAAAAGAATGAAATACTGCCATTTGCAGCAACATGCATGAACCAAGAGACTATTATACTAAGTGAAGTAAGTCAGAGAAAGACAAATATTCTATCACTTACATGTGAAATGTAAAAAAATAATACAAATAAACTTATCTACAAAGGAGAAACAGATTCATAGATACAGAAAACAAATCTATGGTTACCAAGTGGAAGGCAAGGGGGGGATAAATTAGGATTATGGGATTAACTGATACACAAAAAGTAAGCAACAAGAATTTACTTTGTAGCACAGGTACAAGATATTCAATATCTTGTAACACATAAAAGAAAAGAATCTGAAAAAGAACATGCAACTGGGTCACTCTGCTATATACCTGAAACTAACACAATATTATAAATTAACTATGGTGGTGGTGGTTTAGTCGCTAAGTTGTGTCTGACTCTTGTGACCCCATGGACTGTAGCCCGCCAGGCTCCTCTGTCCATGGGATTCTCCAGGCAAGAATACTGGAGTGGGCTGCCATTTTCTTTTCCAGGGGAACTTCTCGACCCAGCAAACAAACCTGGATCTCCTATATTGCAGGCAGACTCTTTACCAACTGAGCTGCAAGGGAAGTCCCAAAATACTTCAATGAAATTAAAAAAAAAAAAGAACTCCTGTTTTAGAGTGCTATACCAGGTATGTCAAGGAGGTGGTGGTAAGAGCTGTCTACACTGGTGAGAAACCGCATTTTATCACTGACACTGTCCTCAGCAAACACTGAAGATAAAAAGCAGGCTGCAGTTAATTTCATTACTGTTTTTAAATTCTCTATAGATTGCACATTCCCTTCCTGCCTGCATCTGAGGTGGAAAACTCCTCCTGCCCTCAACCCAACCCTTTGGTATGCTACAATATAGAGTAGTAAGATTTATGGATTAACAACTAGCCTGATCAATAAGATGCTGCTGATACATAATCACAAACTCTTCCATTAAACTTTGGTCAACAGACAATAATCATGTACAACTGTACTTCTTAATTAGGAAACCTACAATTAACCTGACTTAGTATCTACTGAGGAAAGACTACACTTCTACTCCTGTCTCCTTTACAGCCTATGGGCAGAGTTCAACTGTATAGAAAATTATCTAAGAATCTGCTTAAAATTGCATATATTATGGATTCTGCCCACATTATAAAAAAGACTTGGAGATTAATGACAATGCTTTCAATCTTTTACAGTTAGGATTGCTTTGAATGGGGTCAGAGACAGTAAATATTTTTCATTAACATTCCCACTACTGTCTCCTATAAGAGCAGCATGCCTGCATGATGATGAAGCTCCCAAAAACCACAGAAGCAACTTCCAAATCCCTTCTCTACATAACACTGCAGGCATCACTACCAAGTGCTGGTCTATGAAACATAAAGAAAAACTTATTGTTTTAATGTCATTTAAATGTCCCCTTCTAGCTCATAAAATTTTTATACTTTATTTCAAATATTTTAACTTATTTTATAAAAATGACATTTCTACCTCAAGCTAATTCTTACAACAAATTTATATTTCATTTATATAAGGTTCTTATGTACTCTCAAGTTGCCATGAAAATACACAAGAAAGATATAGTAGACTTTCTTGACTCACAGGAATCTGTTTTTCTTATAAGCATACCTATCTTCTATCCCAATCTTTTTCTTGACTACCTGGCAACTGAGTGATCATTTCAGTCTTGGGCTATAGTTTTCCCAGTTATTATCTCATTTTACTAGAGAAAAAGGCCTTGAAAACAGCTGCACTTTCCTACATAGTCATGTAGGTCAGGTATGGATGTGAGAGTTGGACTGTGAAGAAAGCTGAGTGCCAAAAAATTGATGCTTTTGAACTGTGGTGTTGGAGAAGACTCTTGACAGTCCCTCGGACTGCAAGGAGATCCAACCAGTCCATCCTGAAGGAAATTAGTCCTGGGTGTTCATTGGAAGTACTGATGCTGAAGCTGAAACTCCAATACTTTGGCCACCTCATGCGAAGAGTTGACTCATTGGAAAAGACCCTGATGCTGGGAGGGATTGGGGGCAGGAGGAGAAGGGGATGACAGAGGATGAGATGGCTGGATAGCATCACCGACTTGATGGGCATGAGTTTGAGTAAACTCCGGGAGTTGGTGATGGACAGGGAGGCCTGGTGTGCTGCAATTCATGGGGTCGCAAAGAGTTGGACACTACTGAACAACTGAAATGAACTGAACTGAACTGAATAAGCATACAATTGCAAAAGGAATGGTTTGAAAACAGTAAAAGAAAAAAAAAGATAAGTGACCTTTCCTTAGACTTTTCCACTCATTCATGTAAAAAGTAAAGAGGTTAAGAGCTAATGTCAGGGAAAATATTAAGCAGAGCTCCAATGGAGCTTCTGAAGGCAGGAAGGAAAGAAGTATAATCTGAGGTCTCTATCATTATGGACTCTGCATGTAAATTCTCAACAGTCAAGGTAATTAGAACATAGATGACTTTTTTCAGTGAGAGTGTCATTGCCTTATACACTTAGTGATATTGACATGCCTGTTTTTATCTGTAATCTGTTCCTGCATCATTCTGAGTTTTGCAGGAGGAATATATGCTCCACCAGTGCGAGTAAGAAGAGGATCCAGCTCCTCTTTCTTCTTCTTTGCAGTAGGTTCATCCTGAGCAGAGGAACTCTGGGTTACCGATGGTTCTGGACTTCTTCTCCCAGGAGATGGTGATTTTCGGGACCTTTTCCGATCCACATCTCTTTCTCTGCGTTTCTCTCGGTCTCTACTTCTGTAATACATTTTTTTGATGGAGAAAAGATGATACAAAATACATTATTAAACGAACTGCATACCAAATGAGTGAGACCATTTGGGGGCCACAGATTCAGATAAGGAAAAGGGGTTTGGTAGTGCCTCACAGAGAAAATGTAACTTAAACTAGGTCATCAAGGGTTGAGAAGATTTACACTGGGGCCAAGGTGGCGAGGGGACAGGGGGAAGGGAGGATGGCATTCTGCAACTAGTAGAAGACAATAACTACTAAAAAGCTGAGCAAGGTTATTTAGGCCAGAATAAGTCAAAACAATAAAGAATAATGTATAACAGCAATTGGAAAGATGAGTTCAAGTCAGACTATGAAATCTTAAAAGACAAGCAGCAAAGTAAGTTTTTTATCCTGCAAGTGATTAGAAATCATTAATAATTTCTAAATGGGATAGTAACATGAAAATAGTGTTTTCTAAAGATAAATTGGCCTGTGATGTATGTGATAAGTTAATAGCAATTTAGGAGTGAGACTATTATCATAAACTGTAATTTGAAGTTGTTTCCTGATAGAACTGGCAATTTATTATAAATCTCAAAATATCAGAAGCTTCTGATTATTTTAGACAATGTGAAAAAACAAACCATTTTCTAGCCACAAAAACTCTTCCCTACTAATGCAGGTGACTATCCTTTGTAAAATGATTATTTAATGTTTTCAAACTATCAAGAAATAGCAAGAAAGAATCAATCTTTGCTTTCTGCTCTCTTTCCCCATTGAGCGTTTGTCCACTTGGCTGTTTTCTACATACATCTGCCTAGAAACTCAGATTATTCTGCTCATGCTTTGTGCAACCATGAGTTATATGAACAACTATCACTATACTGCCAGGAAAGCACTTAATAGATTTTACCTAAATCTAGAAGGTGTATTTGAAATAATGTCTTAATACATGGAAAAGTGTGTTTCTAGTCACCTACTCAGGCAGCTGTGGAGAAACTGTTCTCCAGCTGAAGCACAAAGAGACCTGAGTGACTGCCCCATGAAGACACAGTCTGTACCTACCAACACAACGTGAACAGTGGTAGTTGGGAAAGTGGTTCCAAACAGAAACCCCAATTAGTCAAAGGCAGGTGCTCTGAAATCTAGCCACTGCTTTGTAATTGAGTTGAACATTTTACATTTACAGGAAAAAGCAACTCATTTTATATCTATTCTCTGTAGAGAATAGCTACAGAAGGGATTTACTGACACTGGTTATGATTCTTCTGAGAAACACCAGATAAGACTGTTTGTTGGCTGGTAAAATTGTGTCCTTATACAATTATAGTGTTTCTCCTTCAGAGTACAGAATAGTTTTCTGAGTCTAAACAGAAATATTTCTCTTCAAGTGTTTCTGTATTGTTAGCCTTTATAGTCTACATAATAAACAATGTGCTTACTTTACAGGGTGTGTGGATCAAATCAAACTTTGCATACATACACTGGACTAGACAAAGAATTATAGTGAAGTAATACAGTCAGGGGTACGGATATAAACATGGGCTCTGGAGTCAGAACTGAGCTCAAATCTCAGTTTCATTATCTACTAGACAGGTAACAGCAACCAGAGGTAACAATCAGTTCTAAGCCACTTCCTTACATGTAAATTGTGAGATATAGGATCTAGTATGTAAGAGTTTTGACGGCATTTGAGAAGGTCCGAGAATGCCTAGCTCACCAATTATGGTGGTAGCAGTTGCTCTTATTAAAGTGTCATTAGGGTGACGGCAGGTAAACCTGTCTTTTGGAGGTTAATTTAATCTGACATTTATAAGGACAGGTTACATATTAGAAAATAAGCAGTGAAAAGGAAACTGTGGCTGCAGATATCAAATAAAGTGCTTGGTTCCAAACTGTGGAGAAATCTGATTAAAATTCTACTGTGGTATAGTCTGGGTAGTCATGGAATAGATGATATGAGAGAGACATCAAAAGGGATATAGAACTATGTGAACAACAGAACATGGTAGGCAAGTTTTGGAAACCAAATGACTAATAAAGTGGGCAGTCAAGTTCTCTAAGACTCAAGTAAGAATAATTTATACTTAGAAAATGGTAACTTCACTCTCAATATCCCTCTGCCATTATGTAAGTTAAGATCACTCAATATCATAAATGACTTTCATTCAGTAAACAATCTCAGAAACTCATATAAGCCAATTCCTCATATAGCACAGTATAATGAATAAAAGCTTGAGACCTAGAGTCAGACAGACGAGGACTTGTCACTGACACACTTTTAAAACATGAACAAATGACTTAACTTCTCTAAGCTTCATTTTCTTCATCTATAAAAGTCATATATTTATTGCAATAAGAAGTTAAATTAAGTCCTTATTAGAAAGCCTGGCACCTAAAAACATCCACTTATGGCTAGCTGTCATTATTATTATGCATAAAGAAAATTTAAACAAGTATGTTTCTATAGTTAAAATATCCAATACTAACCGTGACTCCATGTTACTATCATAAGAATGTTCTCTCCTTGAACGCTCATAGTCTGACCTGCTGGAATCAAAGTAACCTCTATCCCGAGGAGATCTTTCTTGTTCTATGTATCTGACACATAAAATAAGAAAACCAAAGTTACAAGTTGAAAACAATGATGTTATACTTAGAAAAGTCATCTATTGGTAATGGTGATGTAATTCTATGACTGTATAAAGTTCTATCAAGTGAATCTTAACAAACAGATTATTTTGTTGACATCTATTCATTTAATCATGATTTATAGCTTTCCGCTGGTATGCAACAAAACAACTCCTAGAATTCACTTAACCAAGCTTGACATCCTGTCCTTAGTAGAAGATACTTTTTTGCATATCATATATAGTTTAGCAGGGTCAAAGCTATCCTCCTGCTGTCTAGCTGGCTCATTTTATCAAAGTACTGAATAGTGTCATTGGTTGTCTGCCACTGGTTGTCAACCACTAGTATCATTGGTTGGCCTCCATAAAATCCAGTTATTCTACTCCAAAAGGCTATTTTTATCAGCTCCTATTCTTAAAATCATATTATTAGATATGGGAGAATGGATTGAATGATAAGCAAACAGGGATAGTTAGTATAAGATCTGCCTTTTGAATCTCAAAAGTCAATAAAATCAGAGAACCTTAAGAGAAGTTAATACATACACACATGATAAATATACACAGTAACATAATCTATGTTTCATATGCTTATCTACAATTTATTTGCATACACACATATGTGTGTGTATGTCTATAGGGAAATTTTCTAAAAAATATATACAGGGAGGAGGTGATCTGTGAAAGACAATAAGTAGATGCAGAACACAGTAATTAACTTGTGTATAAAGCAAAGGTTTTTTGAGACAGCAGAATGGCATATGAACAAAGTGCACAAAGAATAAGAGATCAGACAACTGAAAGAGAATTTAGAGGATGCTTCTCCTTTCACAAATTCTTTTTCAAGGTTATAGCTTACTAAGTGAAATAACTGAAGTCATACTATGAAGGCATGATGAACATTAATGGTACCATCTCTGGGTATTTGAACTTAACACAATTACGGTAAGATACATATAAAAACATTTTGAAAACTATAGAGAGCCATGTAAATATAAAGGATTAGTATTAACAGTAAAAGCACTTCAAAATAATGTGATTTCAACTAAACTTTCCATTTTATAAACTTCTATGCAGTATTTGACATAAAATTATTCTACTTCACCTAAAAAATTTCATAAAAATCTAGAATTATTTACTAGAAATTCCTAGAATAGTCATTCAAGGACGATCTGTTTTCAACCCCACTCAAGTAATATTGCCTGTAAAACCATCAAAAAAAGTTAGTAAACTTAAAATTAGAAATCTAAGAGCTAAATAATTTCTTAAACTTGTCATTAGGTATTTAGAACACATAAAATTGTTTACCTGTCTTCTGGAGAGGAGGTCCTTTGATATGAATTATAATTTTCCCTTCTGTCATGACCAGAAGAATGCTTTCAATGGAAAAAAAGAGAGGGAAGGGAAATTTTAAAATTCTGTTAAAAAAACATACAGACAATGACATATGTGACATATGTATCTTGGAAAACTGGAAGTGCTTTAAAAATTATTTCAAAATATGCTTTTAAACATAAAAATAATTTATACTACCTAAATAAATTTTCAGGCCATCCCAGGTAAATGTCTGTTGCAGTTATCTGTTTACTACAGATCAAATACTGTCTTTAAACAACAACAACAACAAAAAACTCAATGTATAACAGAAGAAAATAATTCTCAAATTTTTGATGCCACTTAGTTAATATTTTATTCCTATGTAATGAAATTCAGATAGTAAAGAAGCTGCCTGCAATGTGGGAGACCCAGGTTCAATCCCTGAGTTGGGAAAATCCCCTAAAGTAGGGAATGGCTAACCACTCCAATATTCTTGTCTGGAGAATTTCCTGGACAGAGGAGCCTGGCAGGCTACAGTCTACAGGTCGCAAAGAGTCAGACACCACTGAGCTACTAATACTTTCACTTTCAATAAGATTTAAATTTATAGAACACCATGGTTTTCTTTCAGGAACTCACTTTTGTGGTTATGCCCAAGTCTTTTATAACATTGCACTTATGTTCTTATCTCCTTTGGCTTAAGAAAACCACAACATTAGTCCAGGTTACTGAATCTGGACAAAACAGAGGAAACTGACTAACATTTATGAAAATTCATTTTTGTTTTCAACAAACATTATTTAAGTGTCTGATATGGCATGTATGTCACTACGGTAGGCTGTGAAGATTTAAAAAATATGACTTGTAAAATATAGCTCCTAAGCCAAATCCTTTGAAAAATAACATACAAAAAAGTAACTTCAATGTAATATGAGACTGAAGCTACATGTCACAATGAGAGAGAGAGATGAATCATCCAGTTTAAGAACATATCCTAATTTAAAAATCCAAATACATTTAAGATGCCAAAATATTTATAAACAGGTAAATTTTTAAACCAGCTATAAAAATGTTCATATTGACAAGCTATTTTTAAGAATTAAAATGATTTTAATTAACTGAACAGATTTTAATTAACTGAAAGGAAATACAGTATGTTTTCAAAGAATCTTAATCTTGAAATCTAAGAAAAAATAACTCAAATAATGAGTAATTTGTTCCACATACTGACATGCTTGCCTCCTTAATGGGAAAAAACACATTCAAAAATTGAAAATTATACTGCAAAGAAATGTAAACAAGCTCCAATGTCCTCTTATGTTACTGCTGTCAGTGGCTCAGTCATGTCCAACTCTGTTTGACCCCACTGACTGTAGCCGAGCTTCTCGGTCCAGTCAAGAATACTGGTTGCCATTCTCTTCTCCAGCGGATCTTCCTGACCCAGAGGCTGAACCCAGGTCTCCTGCATTGCAGGTGGATTCTTTACCATCTGAGTCACCAGGGCAGCCTTGCTCTCATGTTATGACTAATTAGCAGCAGTTTGAGTCTATTATCACAAGTAAATTAATTGCTAATACAATCTCCTTAAGTACTGAATTTTTTGAATAATATACACTAATTAGACTAATGTGTGCTGGTGAATAAACATGTGATCAAATTTATAATTTAAGGTAGTCAGTCTGGCTATATTTTATACTGAGTGCAAACATCTTAAAATCCGGTTTCTAATATGTATAACTTTAAAAAATTCTTTCACGGGGCAGCATAATTAAGTAGAATTGTTCAATATATATGACCTAGGCTTCCATAAAACTTGACATCAAGATCCTAAACCAAATATGGAGCACTAGATTCATGCAGTTCATGGTAACGTCAAACACAGCATTTACTTATTTTTTATAAGACACACCCCTTCCTCCAGCCTAGACACTCTGGGGGATACAAAAGATAGGAAAAACCTTCAAGGAGATTAGGATCTTAGAGGAGAGATGATTATAAAGATTTCTACAGTTAAAAAATCAGATTATATGTGAGACAGATAGAGAATGAGGAGGAGAAGGGGAAGGAGCGGGGAGGGAGAGAAAACAATAAAACTGCACTCTCTACTTTTTCTTTTACAAGACATGACAATTATTTTGACTACATTAGGGAGAAGGCCTCAATTCTGTGCTAATGATTTTTAACACATCTCCACAACATCTGTTGTGAGCAAGAGGGAGAAATCAAAAATACTGAAGTCATGACTCAGGATTTCATAAATGCGATCCAGTTAACCAATGGCTGGCACACACAGTCAGTGCCAACAGATCTCAAGAAGAACCAGCTCCAGGGCACACAGTGCCAAGGGTGACCGTGAGTAAGGGGAACCTGAACTGGTTTCAGTACATTTTACTCAGCGAAAAATAACTTCAAAGTTTGACCCAAGTAATAGTAACCTGAATGTCCCTCTTTCCCTTATCACAGAGGTTAGATTCGAAGTCAGAGCAGTAGTTGATGGTAATGTATTGTTGAAATGACCTTTACAAATCTTTCCTCAAGCAAAGCAAACAGGGTACACTGAGTAGTCGCCTGTAGTCTCTGGCAATGCAGACAGCAGTGCGAGGCAGCGACAGGAGCAGGGAGCCTATGTCCAGAGGCCCTGAACATCCCTTAGGCTCAGGGGACAAGTCTTTAGAGCAGAAAGAGAGGAGAGGCTGGAAGAGTTACGGAGCTTGCCTCTAACTGGCTAAGGAAGCTACGTAAAGTCCATGGAAAAATAAGGGATCCTCAGCTGAAGCCTCCTGAACCTTACAGATGAGGCCTCAAAATATTGAGAGGATCTGAGGTAAGAATGGGCCCAACCCACCTAGTGGCCAACAAGATGGAGAGAGGAAGGCAAATGAAACTGGGAACTGGCTGAAGGGGGTTGAGCCACTGTGAACGGCTTGCTGGGGACATTTCCCACACTAGAGTGATGCCCCAGAAGACCCATGTGGACGACAAAAGGAACACGTGGAGAGGCACAGTCTAAGAGAAACAGGAAGAGGACTCTGAGAAAGACCGAACACTTCTCCCTCTGTGTAAAAAGTACAGACTAAACTGAGTGCTCCTGTCTAACACGGCTCAGTCAAGAGCCAGTTCTGCACATGGTCTCCTTTCTCCTTAGGTCCCAACTCCTATCATGGTCTGCCATGTGCTAGGCCCACAATTAATTGTTTAGCTGTCAGTGAACCAATGAATACAAGTTCCAAAGAGGCAGATTTCAGAACACTATATGAAGGTATCTGCTGACAGATGGTGCCAGCTTCCAGGACAGCGAACCCCCTGCCAAAGGAAATATGTAAGCACAGGCTGGATGTCTACCTAGGAGGGAGGCCTAGAGAGTGTCTTCTCGTACTCAAAAGAGGTTTGAAGAGACGGCAACAGAGCCTGTCTCAGTCTGTAAACATATCAATTCACTCTATCAAGCATTCACCACACCTCAAGCCTGGTACCTGAGGCCTGCTGTTGAGGAGCTCCTATCTCACACTGAAGTAGGTTTAGGGGTGCAGAGGTGGTGCAGGAGGGGAAAGAAGTGTCTGTCTTCATAATCAAATAATCTTACTGACTCCAAGATACAGGAAGTAATGTGCCTGCTTGTAGATCTATGGACTACACACACCAGCAAGTAGATCTGTGCAGCCGAAATGAAAAGAAGTAGAATGGCTTGCTCTTCTGCAAGGTCCACTCAGAGGCATAGGAACAGGTCTGAAGCAGATGGAGTTACAGTTCTTGTGAGCACGCTGACTACCTCTGCTATTCTACTTTTCTCAGCACCTGCTCCAGCCACACTGGACTCTTCAGTTTTGCCTCTGTTGTTCCTATTGCTGAGCACCTTCCTCTCCCAGACATCTAGTGGGCTAACTCCCTCATTTTCTTCAAGTGTGTGCTCAAAAAGGCTCCTTTTCACTGGCCCCTCCCTATTAAAAACCGCATCATCCGATTGCTACTGATCAACCTTACCCTATTTCTTTTCTCCATAGCACAATCTAGCATGTAACACTGTGAAAATACTACATAATCCACTTACATATTAAGTTTATGATCTATTTGCTTTCTCCACCACTAGAATGCAAACTCTATAAGACCAACGAATCCTGTTTTATTCACCATTTTACCCAAAGTGCTCAAAACAATCACTGGGACATCGTAAGAATTCAGTGAATATTTGGTGAATAAACAAATGTATAAAGTCTAAATTACAGCACAAAATAAGTAGCCCATTTATGCAACAAGAGGTTCACTTGTAGGCAGACATGCAAAAACTGTGACCAACTGAGAAAGAAGATAATCATCTTCCATTTTACACTCATGCAGGAAATAATGCTCTTTAAGAAGAATGGTGGAATTTCCTGCTGTTATTTTTCTTTTATATATACATGCTCACTCACATATACTTTCTTGATTTACACACACATACACACACTCATATACACACACACACACACACACACACACACACACACACCCTCCTCCACCCCTGTATGCTCTCTCAACTTAACCACTTTACCATCTGGCCAAATATCTAGAGTTGAAGTAGCATTAAGTTCAATGTGTGTATGACACAACTCTATTGTCTGGTTCTACTGTCCTAATTATATAAATGCATTTTTGTTTAAAGGGTAGATAAACGACTATAAGTTTATGTTATTATAAGTTTCAAACACTTACCTTTATTTGTGCCACACTACTTTTCATTTTCTTTTGCCAGTTGATCTAAAGACTCCTTAAGCTGGCCCAAATAACAAATACCAAACAGGATGAATTCCTTGACAGTTCACCTTTTCTGTCTGCAAATGTCACCTATAAAATATACCAAAATAAATCTTTGTTAACACTAATAAGTGTGTAAAATAATGACATGTCATTATTTTGGTAACTGTTGAAAAATGCTGAACTGACAGTTATGTTCATATACAACTGCCATTCAAGTATTTTATAAGAATAGCATTATCAGTAGTTTATAATTTATGGTATGGTATAAGGTAAGGAAATCACAAAAGTGAAATAGAAAAGAAATTAAAAGAGGTAGAGAATACACAGTGAAAACTGCTCAGCACCAAAATAACTGAAAACAATTAAAAAAAAATCTAATTTGAATTGGAGAAAGGATGATACAGATTATCTCGTCCAATCCTTTATTTTAAGGATAAGAACACTGTCAGATAAGTCATTTCAATGTTCTAAGTTATAACAATGTTCTAAGCTATAAAACAAGCTAGCGAAGCATTACCCTCAATGGTGAAAAATTGAAAGCATTTCCCCTGAAATCAGGAACAAGACAAGGGTGCCCACTCTCACCACTACTATTCAACATAGTTTTGGAAGTTTTGGCCACAGCAATCAGGGCAGAAACAGAAGTAAAAGGAATCCAGATAGGAAAAGAAGAAGTGAAACTCTCTCTGTTTGCAGATGACATGATCCTCTACATAGAAAACCCTAAAGACCTACCAGAAAATTACTAGAGCTAATCAATGAACATAGTAAAGTTGCAGGATGTAAAATTAACACACAGAAATCTCTTGCATTCCTATACACTAACAATGAGAAAACAGAAAGAGAAATTAAGGAAAACAATACCATTCACCACTGCAACAAAAAGAATAAAATACTTAGGAGTATATCTACCTAAAGAAACAGAAGACCTATACATAGAAAACTATAAAACACTGATGAAAGAAATCAAAGAGGACACAAACAGATGGAGAAATATACCGTGTTCATGGATTGGAAGAATCAATATTGTCAAAATGGCTATACTACCCAAAGCAATCTATAGATTCAATGCAATCCCTATCAAGCTACCAACGGTATTTTTCACAGAACTGGAAGAAATAATTTCACAATTTGTATGGAAATACAAAAAACCTCGAATAGCCAAAGTAATCTTGAGAAAGAATGGAACTGGAGGAATCAACCTGCCTGACTTCAGACTATACTACAAAGCCACAATCATCAAGACAGTATGGTACTGGCACAAAGACAGAAATATAGATCAATGGAACAGAATAGAAAGCCCAGAGATAAATCCATGCACCTATGGACACCTTATCTTCGACAAAGGAGGCAAGGATATACAATGGAGAAAAGACAACCTCTTTAACAAGTGGTGCTGGGAAAACTGGTCAACCACCTGTAAAAGAATGAAACTAGAACACTTTCTAACACCATACACAAAAATAAACTCAAAATGGATTAAAGATCTAAACGTAAGACCAGAAACTATAAAACTCCTAGAGGAGAACATAGGCAAAACACTCTCTGACATAAATCACAGCAGGATCCTCTATGACCCACATCCCAGAATATTAGAAACAAAAGCAAAAATAAACAAATGGGACCTAATGAAACTTAAAAGCTTTTGCACAACAAAGGAAACTATAAGCAAGGTGAAAAGACAGCCCTCAGATTGAGAGAAAATAATAGCAAATGAAGCAACAGACAAAGGATTAATCTCAAAAATATACAAGCAACTCCTCCAGCTCAACTCCAGAAAAATAAATGACCCAATCAAAAAATGGGCCAAAGAACTAAACAGACATTTCTCCAAGGAAGACATACGGATGGCAAAAAAACACATGAAAAGATGCTCAACATCACTCATTATCAGAGAAATGCAAATCAAAACCTCAATGAGGTACCATTACACACCAGTCAGGATGGCTGCTATCCAAAAGTCTACAAGCAATAAATGCTGGAGAGGCTGTGGAGAAAAGGGAACCCTCTTACACTGTTGGTGGGAATGCAAACTAGTACAGCCGCTATGGAAAACAGTGTGGAGATTTCTTAAAAAACTGGAAATAGAACTGCCATATGACCCAGCAATCCCACTTCTGGGCATACACACCGAGGAAACCAGATCTGAAAGAGACACGTGCACCCCAATGTTCATCGCAGCACTGTTTATAATAGCCAGGACATGGAAACAACCTAGATGCCCATCAGCAGATGAATGGATAAGGAAGCTGTGGTACATATACACCATGGAATATTACTCAGCCATTAAAAAGAATTCATTTGAATCAGTTCTGATAAGATGGATGAAACTGGAGCCCATTAAACAGAGTGAAGTAAGCCAGAAAGATAAAGACCAATACAGTATACTAACACATATATATGGAATTTCGAAAGATGGTAACGATAACCCTATATGCAAAACAGAAAAAGAGACACAGATGTATAGAACAGACTTTTGGACTCTGTGGGAGAAGGCGAGGGTGGGATGTTTCGAGAGAACAGCATCGAAACATGTACATTATCTAGGGTGAAACAGATCACCAGCCCAGGTGGGATGCATGAGACAAGTGCTCGGGCCTGGTGCACTGGGAAGACCCAGAGGGATTGGGTGGAGAGGGAAGTGGGAGGGGGGATCGGGATGGGGAGTACATGTAAATCCATGGCTGATTCATATCAATGTATGACAAAAACCACTACAATATTGTAAAGTAATTAGCCTCCAACTAATAAAAAAAAAAACAAACAAACTAGCGACGGACTAGAAACCTAGCTTAAGGACACCTGATTAGGTATTCTTTTCACTGGACCACATACACAAATAATCTAGGTACTATAAAGTACAGTGATACACAGTTGCCATCACTTAATGCAGTTGGGGAGGTATATAAATCACTAAGTAAAGAAAAGTTTCCTTTACCATGGTTATCATGCTATCTAGATTAGTAAAAACAAAATATAGCTGATTCTTCACAAGCGTGTCAATCTACAAAGTATAACTGCAATCTAAAGCACATCATTGCCCAAGGACTCCCACAGCAGAGAGAGCCAGAGAAGGGAAGTCCCATGCGCTCAATACACTCTCCCAAATTTCTTACTACACCTGAACCCATACACATACTAAACGCACACACATGCTAAAGAGAGTCCTGCTCAGGACCACGGAACTAAACACAGATGTGAACAACTCAAGAGACAGATGGGTTCAAGAGACAGAATTTGCAACTTAAGCTTTATCAAATAATTGCCTAAAGGGTCACCATTCCTCAGAGGAATACACCAGAATCTAAGGTCTTAACAGAATAGTAAAATGTCCATGATACAATTAAAAAATAACTTATTAGATAACAGTGGCCCAATCTTGAGAAAAAAGACAATCAAAGAAAACCAATACTGAGACACCAACCCAGACGATGAAATTAGCAAAAGAGGTTTTCAAAGCATAGTCAAAAGTGAAAAGGAAGACATGCTTGTAAGGAATAAAAATATAGAAAATTTCAGGGGAAAAAACTCAAAACAAAAAATGAACCAAACTGAAATTCAAGGACTGAAAAATACATGAAGCAAAAAATTCACTGGACAGACTTAAGAGCAAAATGGAGATAAAGGAAAGCCAATAAGTTTGATGTAAAATCATTAAAAACTATCCAATCTAAAGAACAGAGAGAGAAATTTTAATGAACTGTATCAGGGATATGTAAGACAATATCAATGGGCATTGTGCAATTAAAGTACAAGAAGGAAAAAGAGAAAGAATGGGATAGAAGAAATATTTCAAGAAATAACAGCCAAGATATCCCCAAATTGGATGAAAGACACACATTTACAGATTCAAGAAGCTTGAACACTCCCCAACAGGATACATATAAAGAAAACCACACTTACACAAATAGTTATATATAGTAGTCAGTAATCAAACTGCTGAAAACTAAAGATAAAGAGAAAATCCTGAGAGCAGCAAGAAGGAAAAACAACACATTATATAAGGGGAATTAACTCAAATTATTTCTAACTTTTCTTTAGGAACTAAGGAGACCAAAAGACAGTAGAATAATCTTTAAAGTGCTGAAAGATTAAGAAACTGTTAACCTCCAGCAAAAATAATCTTAAGAATGAAAATGAAACAAAGACATTTTTGTGACTGAACAAAGCAAACAAAAACAACTAAGAGAAACTAAGAGAATGCATCACCAGCAGACCTGCACTGCAAGAAATGCTAAGGGAAATAACACCAGACAGAAGTATGGATTTTCAAAAAGGAAAAAGTAACACTGGAAATGGTAACTGTCTCAAGAAATATAAAAGACTACTTTTTCCTTTATCTAAAATACACAGATCTGTTTAAAGTAGAAACTATGTTGGAGAAGACTCTTGAGGGTCCCTTGGACTGCAAGAAGATCCAACCAGTCCATCCTAAAGGAAATCAGTCCTGAATATTTATTGGAAGGACTGATGCTGAAGCTGAAACTCCAATAATTTGGCCACCTGGTGCGAAGAACTGATTCATTTGAAAAGACTCTGATGCTAGGAAAGACTGAAGGCGGGAGGAGAAGGGGACAACAGAAGATGAGATGATTGGATGGCATCACTGACTCAACAGACATGAGTTTGAGTAAACTCTGGGAGTTGGTGATGGACAGGGAGGCCTGGTGTGCTGCTGTCCATAGAGTTGCAAAGAGTGGAACACAATTGAGCGACTGAACTGAACTATAATGTCTTGAGAGGGCATAGTGTATGTATGCAGGTATTTGTGGACTAAATGGACCTACATGAGGCAAGGTTCCTGATTTTTTTCTGAGGCAGTACAATATGAACCCTAAGGCCTGTGAAAAGCTAAGGATAGACCTTATGTTCTTTAGAGAAATGACCAAAAATATGTAAATATAACTAAAAATGTCTACAGATAAATTAAAATGGAATTAAAAAAATAATTTATAAAGGCAGGAGAGAAGGAACAAAAAACA